GTGAGTGTGTGAGTGAGTGTGTGAGTGAGTGTGTGAGTGAGTGTGTGTGAGTGAGTATGTGTGAGTGAGTATGTAAGTGTGTGAGTGAGTGTGTATGAGTGTGTGAGTGTGAGTGAGTGTGTGAGTATGTGAGTGAGTATGTGAGTGAGTGTGCGTGTGAGTGAGTAGTGGGGAGCGGTGGTGTAGCGGTTAGCGCTACGCTGCGCTATGAACCCGGCGACACGAGTTCGATTCCCGCTCACGGCCAACACCACTGATGATTATCTGAAACGGTCCTGGGCCTCCCCTAGGTCGACTCAGCCTCAAATGAGTACTTAGTGCGGTGTGTAAACATTGCCACTGGGGAGACAAAGGTGGTCGGGCGTGGTGCTGGCGACCCACCCCCTCGTGTGCCGTTTCGGCCTTCATAGGTGCTCGCTAACAGCACTTGCCCCAACAGTCTGATAAGGCTACACGGGGGATCTTTGTTGTGTGTGAGTATGTGAGTCAGTGAGTGCTTCATGGAAGCTGCTCTTGGAAGCTGCTCTTAAAAACGCATCGCAGCGCCCAGCGGCGTCTTCCTCACGTCGGACGCGAGAGCGTTCCAGACGGCCGCAGAAGTCGCGCATCTGAAAGCGCCGCGGGACGTTGCTTCGCAGCCAGAAGCCGCCGCTGCTGCTGCCACTGCGAGGGTGACGAGCGGATGCTGCTGCTGCTGCTTGACAACAACAGGCGGATGAAGTAATAAGAACAATAAGTAGCAGCACAAGCGGTCTGCATCAGGCGGGTGAAGACCGCTTGTGTCGCGATCGAAACGTCGTGGGGTTGTTTTTGCTTTTATTTTAGATTTTTTGTTTTCTATCTACGTGACTTCACCGAAAGAAGCAAGAATATGAGTTCCTGCAGTCACGAAGGTTTTAAGTCTCAGCTCAGTCCGGCCCTGCGTCACCCCCGGCATGCGCTTGTGTCCCCCCCCTCCTCCTTCTCCTCCCTCCTATCCCGTCCTTCCTCGTCCTCCCTCCTATCCCGTCCTTCCCCCTGCCTCTTCCTCCTCCTCCCTCCCTCCCTCTTTCCCCCTCCTCCACCCCCCTCCTCTCGACTCCCGGCCCACCGTCGCAGCATCGTGCACCTGTGCGTGCGGAGGGACGAGGGCAAGCAGGTGATACTCAAGCAGATCCCCGTGGAGCAGATGAGCCGCGACGAGCGGCAGGCGGCGCAGAACGAGTGCCAGGTGCTCAAGCTGCTCAGCCACCCGAACGTCATCAAGTACTTCGAGAACTTCCTCGCGGACAAGGCCCTCATGATCGCCATGGAGTACGCTCCCGGTGAGGCCCCGTTGCCGTGGCGACGCCGTGGTACTGCCAGGAGTTCTAGATTTGAAGCTTTCGTGACTGCGAGGATTCGTACTCTTGGGTTTTTCGGTAAAGTCATGTAGCAGGGAAATAAAATAATAATACTGCTACATGATTTATTATTTTATTTAATAGAAAAAAAATACACCGATGTAGGTCGGCACGGCACACGAGGGGGTGGGTGGCCAGCACCACGCCTGGCCGCCTTTGTCTCCCCAGTCGCGATGTCCACTACACACCGCACCAGGTACTCATTTGAGGCCGAGTCGACCTAAGGGAGGCCCAGGACCGGTTCAGATAATCACCACCGGTGTTGGTGGCCGTGAGCGGTAATCGAACTCGGGTCACCCGGGTTCGTAGCGCTAACCGCTGCACCACTGCTCCCCACACACGACATACATACGTACAACATACGTACAACATACGTGCTACGTTCGTACGCGGTGGGGAACCTTTGTGTCCGTGGTGGCGGGGCGCAGGGGGCACCCTCGCCGAGTACATCCAGAAGCGGGGCGGCTCGCTGCTGGACGAAGACACCATCCTGCACTTCTTCGTGCAGATCGCCCTGGCGCTGCACCACGTGCACTCGAACCACATCCTGCACCGCGACCTCAAGACGCACAACATCCTGCTGGACAAGCGGCAGACGGTCGTCAAGGTCGGCGACTTCGGCATCTCCAAGATCCTGAGCAGCAAGAGCAAGGCGTACACGGTGAGCCGCCGCGGCGCGTCGGACCCGTTCCTGGTTCGGTTCCCGGTGAGGAAGAGGTGGGGGGGGGGTGGAATGGGGGGGGTGAAATCGTCATCATCGATCGTCCTCCATCGGTGCTGTGAGGAGCGAATGGTCAACAGTCACGTGGCCGGAGGGTCGACCTGGCGACTGGTGGGTGAGGGACGAGGCAGTTAGCCGTGTCCGTGCGGTGCGTGCACAAAGGGAGCCCAAAGGGCTGTTCCCAGCGCACGTCAGGCAGCCCATGCCCACTTGGAGACATTATCATGAAAGTAAAATCATGCAGCAATACTCCCCGCACCCCCCGGTCGGATTCTGCGGCGTCGTTCCTGGTGGAGTCTCACGTGCGAGTCGTGACGTCACCGCACACACGTGTGAGTCGTGACGTCACCGCACACACGTGTGAGTCATGACGTCACCGCACACACGTGTGAGTCGTGACGTCACCGCACACACGTGTGGCGTTCTGTTTTTTTTTATAACCTCGCAGGATCTTTGACGTTCGCAAACGGGTGCGTATCCACGATCCGTACACACACTCGTATTCACCAGGGCAGCCGCCGGGCTCAAGTGGCAAATGCGCGTTCGCTCCAATTTTGTTGTTCGTAATCATAATTTTTTTTTTTTTACTTCAAAGGACAGAGTTTGGAAAAGCGGAATTATAATTATGATAACAGTTCAGAAATTGTAGCGAGCACGGTTTTTTATGCCCTCCATGCTCTCGCCCCGTCTTATCTGGCTTCTTTCGGGGTGCCACGATGGCTAGGAGATGTCAACTACCTCGCCTGGTATACAGGAGGTCGTGGGTTCGTTCCTGACCCTGACTCCTGCTGCTGCTGTATATTTGGAGTTTGCGTGTCTTTCTCTCTCCCCGTGGTCGCGTGGGTTATTCTCTGGGCCCTGCGGTTTTCCCTCCACATTTAGAAGCAACATCACCACGTGTTTGGAGTGTTTGGCTGCTGCTATACATTTCCACGTGATAAGCCACTTTGTTCACTTATCATTTGTGATAGCCAAGTAAGTCATTGGCCGTGTTAGCCAACTGCCCTGAACCCCTCGTGGGTGCTCCGTCGGCCTGCAGGTGGTGGGCACCCCGTGCTACATCTCCCCGGAGCTGTGCGAGGGGAAACCCTACAACCAGAAGAGTGACATATGGGCCCTGGGCTGCATCCTGTACGAGCTGGCGAGCCTCAAGAGGGCGTTCGAGGCCGAGGTGAGCCACCCGGCCACCCCCCCCCCTTCCACTCGCGCCCCGATGTGTCCCCTCGGCGCATTCGTTTGGTAACGAGTTCGGAAGCGAGTCATCGTTCGCCTCCCTTGTACGTGTGCGCGTGTGTACGTACGTTGAACTGCTTTCGCACCGTACGTAGCCACCTGTGCTTATCGGAGGTTGTATCGCCGCGTCGGTTCAAAGCCAACATTGTGAGCTATACGCTTTGCCACCGGACGGAGCCGATCGAATTGAGTTGTCACGTCGCGGACGAATGCGCCAAACCGATTTGGGTTTGTGTCCGCAAACCGTTGCGTGGAAAGAGCAAGCAAACCTTTTTGACGGGCGCGGGACGTCCTAAATGCGAGTTCCGTCGTGGCACGGCTCGGTTTGTGGTTATCAGCCGGTGGAAAAAGCCACGCGGTGCCGTGCCGGCCTCCCGCGCCGGCAGCGGCTGGGCCGCGCGAGCGGGTGAAAGGCGCGGGGCAAGAGTCGTGCGGCGCTAACGCGGCGGGCGGGCGCGCCGCTCTGCCGGCAGAATCTGCCGGCGCTGGTGCTGAAGATCATGAGCGGCAACTTCGCCCCGGTGTCGGACCGCTACAGCGGCGAGCTGCGGCAGCTGGTGGTCAGCCTGCTCAACCTGGACCCCGGCAAGCGGCCGCAGCTGAGCGAGGTGCTCTCTCACCCCGTGTGCATGAGCGCCATGATCCGCCTCTACATGGACATCGGCCGGGTGCCCGCCAGGTTCGTGTCCGGCGAGGCCGAGTTCGATCCACCGTGGGCGCCCACGGTGGCTAGGAGATGTTGACTACCTCGCCTGGTGTGCAGGAGGTCGTGGGTTCAATCCCGACCCTGACGCCTGCTGCTGCTGTATATTTGGAATCTGTGTCTCGCTCTCTCCCTGTGGTCCCGTGGATTTTTCTCCGGGTCCTCCGGTTTTTACCCTCCACATTTACAATCAACATCACCACGCGTTTGGAGTATTTGGCTGCTAGAAATCTCCACGTGTTGAGCTATCATTTGTGATATCCAGGAGGCTTCTGAGAAAGAAGATCTGTACACGAGGCATGTCCGTTAACACCTCCCAGCCACCGTGGCGCCCTCCACCACGTTCAGTCATCGCCCCCTCCTCGCCTCCCCGTTCACTCCGATCCAGCTCCTATGTTATGGAATACGATTTGTCGTCATCATCGTCACCATCATCATTAGCCATTTGTAAAAAAAAATGTTTTATTTAAATTGTGCTGGCGATGTCGATTGCAGGATGGAAAAGCCGATGATGCTGCTGTCGCTGGACGCACAGGGCAGGGCGAGGCAAGCGTGTCGCCCCCGCTTCCCGCGTGAGTATCTTCACACTCGCCCAGCGTTCAACCGCACTCCCTTCGCCCCCTCTGTGCGGGAGCCGATTGGCTCAAGATTATTGCAAGGCCCTGGGTTGAATGTTGCATTGTGGCTTGGCTTTCCAACACACAACCGGCGTGCTGTACTAGTGACGAATTGGCACGTTCTGTGTACGTGACAACCCTTACTGGTTGGCTGTGGCGGGTTGTACGACACGTTTATATTTTTACGCGTCGTGAGCAACGTCGTGAGCAACCCGGACCAGTCTGGATGCGAGAAACCAATCCAATCTCCCCCCCCCCCCGTCTCCGCGTCCCGGCCGACGGCGCCAGTGTCCGGGGACGGCACGCCGGCCGGGAGCGCCGGCAGGGCGGCGGCTGCCCCCCCGCCGCTCTCCTCCGTCTACATGTGGGGCAGCGGCACGCTGGCGCCCGTCAAGCTGGCCATGCCCAACACGGAGGTGCTGCAGGTGGCGGTGGGGCGCACGCAGAGGGCCGGCGTCACGCGCAGCGGCAGGCTCATCGTCTGGGAGGTGAGCGCTACGTGGAACTCGCCGAAGACTTGAGCTTGCTGGATTTGTCCAGAGCACCTCCACGTGCCTCGCCATCGCGTCGTCGTCGTCATCGTCGTCGTCGTCATCATCCCGGCGCTCCGCTGCAGTTGCTCCCCGTGGGTGGGGGGCGGGGGCCCCCGATGGCAGCTGTCTCTGTGCAGCACGAGGTGTCGCGCCCGCGACACCGGAAACGCTTCATGCCAGGCTCCTTCATCTCTATTATGATGATGGCGATGATGATGGTGATGATGGCGATGATGGCGATGATGATGTTGATGATTATGATGATGGTGATGATGATGATGGTGATGATGGTGGCGATGGGGATGATGGTGATGATGGCGATGGTGATGATGGTGATGATGGTGATAATTATGGTGATGTTGATGGTGATGATTTTGGTGATTGTGACGATGGCGATGATGGCGATGATTGTGATGATGGTGATGATTGTGATGATGGCGATGACCCTGATGACGATAACGGTGATACGGCTGATGACGACGACGATGATCATGAGCCGAGTCTCTCCACCCTAAGAGTGGATCGCTGTGAGCACCATGCCACTCAGCTGTCCCATCCTCCCCACTGTCTGCTACCCACTGCCCACTGTCAACTGCCCACTCCCCGCTGCCCACTCCCCGCTGCCCACTCCCCACTCCCCACTCCCCACTCCCCGCTGCCCACTGACTGCTACCCACTGCCCACTCCCCGCTGCCCACTCCCCACTCCCCACTCCCCACTCCCCACTCCCCGCTGCCCACTGACTGCTACCCACTGCCCACTCCCCGCTGCCCACTCCCCGCTGCCCACTCCCCGCTGCCCACTCCCCGCTGCCCACTCCCCACTCCCCGCTGCCCACTCCCCACTCCCCACTCCCCACTGCCCACTGACTGCTACTCGCTGCACCCTGCCCACTGCCCACTGCCCACTCCCCGCTGCCCCGCGGCCTGCTGCCCACTCCCCGCTGCCCCGCGGCCTGCGTGCGTGCAGGCCTCTCCGGGCACGGTGGGCGACGCTGCCCTCCCCGGCTCGGTGGGCAGCGTCCAGCCGCAGCTCGTGTCGCGCTTCCTGGAGGGCCAGTCCGGGGTCACCATTCAGCACGTCTCCTGCGGCGACCTCTTCACCGCATGCCTCACCGGTCCGCGTGTGTGTCCGTGTGTGTCCGTGTGTGTCCGTGTGTTCGGTCCTGCACAGATGCCATATTTTCTGTCCGTCTACTACAGCAGAGGTGTAGGGAATTCCAAAAAGACCTACATCTCTGCTTTATTGACCTGGTCAAGGCCTATGATACCATCAGTAGGACTGGACTCTGGGTTGTTCTTCGTGCTTTCGGAGTCCCTGACCCTCTGCTCACGATCATTAAGGACCTTCATGATGGTGAGCGGGCCCGGGTAAAACTACGTGGCCGGGAGTCGGAGCCTTTCCCTGTACACCTTGGGGTGCGACAGGGATGTCCTCTGGCTCCCACATTATTTAACATCTATTTTGACCGCGTAGTTCGTGAAGCCTTCAATAGCTGTACCGGGGGAATTTCCGTTTGGTACAGATATAATGGGAGGCTGATCGACGCCCGGGTGCGATCAAGGGATGGCTCCCTATTGGTCAACCACGTTATGTATGCCGATGATTTGGTAATAGCTGCTCATTCAGAAGAGGAGTTGGAGGCGCTGCTGCTGAGACTGGAGCGTGCCACTAAGAGGTGGGGCCTTACCATCAGCCCCACCAAAACCAAGCACCTGCCTGGGTATTTTGTACCATCGGACACTCCACCCCCACAACTCCCAATTGGTGATGGGGCAGTTGTGGAGAGAGTGGAGAGTTTCCCATACCTGGGCAGTGTGCTTATGACCGGCTCCAGTCTATCAGCAGAGGTCTCACTCCGAATCAGTCGAGCGGCAATATCTTTTCATCGGTTGCGTAACGCTGTGTGGAAGCTACCTGGTCTGTCGCTCCGCACGAAGCTTCAGGTCTTCTCGGCCACGGTCATTCCCTCCCTTCTCTACGCTTGCGAGACGTGGACCCCCCTGGTGGAGCATCTTCGCCGGTTGGAAACATTTAGGCTGGCCTGCCTACGATCCATCCTGGGTTTAACCAGGCTGGATTGTGTGAGGAGCTCACAAATCCTTGAAAGATCTGGGCAAAGTCCCATCAGTGAGCTCCTCCGGCAGGCAAGGCTGCGTTGGCTGGGTCATGTAGCCCGCATGCCCAGCCACCGCATGCCTAAACAGCTTTTGTTCGGCCGGATCGAGGGGGCTAGACGGGCGCGGCACGGGCTGGAGAAGAGATGGAGTGATGTGGTACAGGAGGACGTGGAGCTGAGTGGACTTGCCGATGACTGGTACCAGCGGTGTCAAGATCGGCCTCAGTGGAGGAGGCTCGTGAAGGACGCTACTGGACAGTTGGAGGCAGTCGCCCTCCAACAACAACGGAGGGCGGAGGAGCGACGCTCACAACAACGAGCGGAGCGCCGGGTGGCTAAAGCACAGCAAGTTGGCACAGTAGGGGGCACAGGTGGTGCATCAGCCAGTCATCTCGGTCATCTCGGTCAGTCGACCAGTGGCACCTGGGTCTGCCCCGTGACCTCCTGCCAGCGGGCTTTCGACACTTCACGTGGCCTCAAGGTGCACTTGGCCTGGCACAAGCATCGTGGTGACGTCACCGCCACTTAGTGGCGAATGGCGGTTGTTGTTGTTGTTGTTGTTGTCCCTGTGTCATTGTGTGTCCGTGTGTGTCAATGTGTGTGTGGGGAGCGGTGGTGGAGCGGTTAGCGCTACGCTGCGCTATGAACCCGGCGACCCGAGTTCCATTCCTGCTCACGGCCAACACCAGTGACGATTATCTGAACTGGTCCTGGGCCTCCCCTCGGTCAACTCAGCCTCAAATGAGCACCTGGTGCGGTGTGTAAAAAAACATCACCGCTGGGGAGACAAAGGTAGCCGGGCGTGGTGCTGGCCACCCACCCCCTCGTGTGCCATGCCGGCCTTCATAGGGAGTGCTGCTGGTTGTTTGTCGTTGTTGTCGTTGTTGTTTTGCATCTTGTCACCGTGCGAACCCGGGCCTCTTCTGTGTCGTTGTTTCCAGACAGGGGGATACTCATGACGTACGGCAGCGGCAGCAGCGGCTGCCTTGGCCACGGCAGCTACAGCGACGTCGCACAGGTACCGTGGGGCATCGTGGAATGATGATGGTGATGGGATAATGGGTTGAGAGAAATGAGATGATGGGATTTGTTATGGCGAGGGGATGAGATCGAAGGATGACGTCACCGGACGAGAAGACACTGAGTGACGAGTTCGGCACGCCCGGTGTGTTGTGGAGTCAAGCCACTCCAACATTCACATGTCGAGTGCCGTGACGTTTCGCTGATAATTACCACCAGCATCGTCGGGCTGTCACCATGCTTTGTTGACGTGACAAACCTTACCCATTGGCCGTGGCGGGTGTAAAGACACCACGTTCATATTTACGCGATCTAACCCAACAAACAAAAGCCTCTGTTACGGTGTTTTTGCACAACTCTTATGGTCCCACTCCTAATGGGTCCGGTCCATGCCAAGTGCGTGCCGACGTCACGGTGCGAGCGAAGCTCTGCACACACACGTGGGGCGCGAGCTAATGCTCTTGTCACTTCCTCGGTGTCGTTGGCAGCCCAAGATTGTGGAAGCGCTGCTGGGCTACGAGATTACCCAGGTGTCCTGCGGGATGTCGCACGTGCTGGCGGTGAGCAATGAGCAAGAGGTGTTTGCCTGGGGCAGAGGAGACAACGGTAAGACTTACAACCGCCCACGAAAACTCAACTATCACACTGGTTTTCTTTCAGTTTTACCAGGTAAGGCCCCACTGGGCTTTGTCGCTGTTTTTTCAGAAGCTGACCGAGTTATCACAAATGTGATACCTCGACGAAGTGGATTGTCATCATGACGCGGCAATGTTTCGCAGCCCGAATGCTCAATGCTGCTCCCTTGCGCCAAACCCGCACTGACCAGCGTGGCGAAGTACGGTCCCAATAACCCCCACGACGACCAGCACCCCTCTCGGCGTGGGCGAGGCGCTCATCCAGCAGTGGAACGACAAACAGGGGCTTCGTTTTTTTCCCCCCTTTTATTATTCGCGCGTCTCGGTCCCTGTGTCGTGCACGTGGCGTCGTGCACCGACGGCATCGTCGCTCTTCAACTTTTTACAGTTTTGTTATTTAGCGAATGCCATTTCACGCGACTTCACACAGTCAAAACACCGGATACATTTACGACATGGATATAGCGAAATAAAGATCGTGTTCTTCGGGTGGATGTTAGCCCCCGCATTAACAAACCCACACATGTCACGAAACTTTCCGTAACGACACCGGCACGCGGACCCAGCCCCGTGTGCGTCTCTCTGTCTCTCGGTGCGTCTGTCTCTCGGTGCGTCTCTCTGCGTCTCCGTGCGTCTCTCTCTCTCGGTGCGTCTCTCTGTCTCTCGGTGCGTCTCTCTGTCTCTCGGTGCGTCTCTCTGCGTCTCCGTGCGTCTCTCTGTCTCTCGGTGCGTCTCTCTGTCTCTCGGTGCGTCTCTCTGTCTCTCGGTGCGTCTCTCTGCGTCTCCGTGCGTCTCTCTGTCTCTCCGTGCGTCCGTACACCTCTCCGTGCGCTTCTCTCCATGCGTCTGCGCGTGTCTCTCCGATCCCCCAGGGCGCCTCGGCTTGGGCAATCAGGAGCTCCACCTGTGCCCGCAGCCGGTGGCCGTCCCCCCGCCCTACGAGCCGTGCACCGCGCACTGCGGCATCGACTGCTCCATGATCCTCACCTCCAGCGGCAGGCTCCTGGCTTGCGGCAGCAACCGGTACGAGCTGGGTTCACAGCCTCATTTCTCTACGACTGCTTCTCTGTCCTTCCTTTATCGTCCTTCCCCCGCACCTCCGATTAGCGCGATTGGATACGTACGGTGCGAAAGAAGTTCAACGGACTAAACTAAAACTATTAAACTAAACTAGTTTTGTATTTTACCAGGTAAGGCCCACTGAGCTATGTAGCTCTTTGTCAGAAGTGACCTGGCCACAAATGACAGCGCAACAAAATGGCTTGATATGATGTGGAAATGTATGGAGCCAAATACTCTGAATGCGTGTTTCTAAATTTGGAGGGAAAAACCGCAGGAACCGGAGAAAAATCCACGCGACCAGCGGGGAGAGAAAGACGCGCAAATATACAGCAGCAGGCGTCAGGAATCGAACCCACGAACTCCTGCATACCAGGCGAGGTAGTTAACATCTCCTAGCCACTACCATACATACAAAGACAAAGGATCTCCCCCCCTCCCGCCACGTATAGCCTGAATAGACTGTTGGGGCAAGTGCTGTTAACGAGCGCCTATGAAGGCCAGCACGACACACGAGGGGGTGGGTGGCCAGCACCACGCCCGGCCGCCTTTGTCTTCCCAGTGGCGATGTTTACACAGCGTGCCAGGTACTCATTTGAGGCCGAGTTGACAACTGCACTGGGACGTATTCCCCCCCTGGCCCCCCCTGGCCCCCCCTGGCCCCCCCTGGCCCCCCCCCCCCCGCCCCCTCTACGTCCGTCCGACGCGCGCTGCAGGTACAACAAACTGGGCCTGGATAAGATCTCGCACGACGGTGGCGACGACGCCGTCACGTGCCCCACGGAGCAGACCGAGGAGTCGCTGGTGCTCTCGCCGGTGCAGTCCAGCCCGCTGGACGGGGCCCGGGTGGTCCACGTGGCGCTGGGCACCGCTCACTCCGCCGCCGTCACAGGTGGGGCGGCGGCGGCGGTGACGACGCGGCGGCTTTACCCCGTCTGGCAATCAAGCGGCAGGAGTTGTGTTCAGATGCTCCAACAGCAACTAGAAACCCTTTGGCAAGGAATGAGGTCGCTGCATTACTCACACACGGTACTTGTTGTGAACATGCAAACAAAAACTTGCGCTGATAATTAGACACATGGCGTTGTCTTTGAAACTGATTGTCCTACACCAGAGACGGGGCGTTCGTTAGGGCCTAGTCTCACCAGTGTCAGACCAGGGAACGACGCCAAAAGGCGAACATGATGTAATGTCGACATTCTTTCGCACTGTACGTAGCCAACCGTGCTGATCAGATACTTCAATCTCCGTCTGCCTTGTCTTCGTCTCCTTCTGTCTCCTCCATCTCCGTTGTGTTTCTTGTCCGCGTGCACCGTCCTCAAAACACCGAGCTGAGCAATTCTGCCCGTCGCGCTCGTGCCATTGTGACGGACACGGTCAGTCGTGACACGTCAACCAGGACGCACTCTCTGGTGTGTCCGTCTGTCTCGTGTCTCTCTGCCTCGTGAGTGGGCGTCTCACTCCGCCTTCATCTCCCACGTCTGTCTCGTCTCTGTCTCGTGTGTGGGGCGTCTCACTCCGCCTCCATCTCCCCCGTCTGTCTCGTCTCTCTCTGACTCGTGTGTGGGTGTCTCACTCCGCCTCCATCTCCCCCGTCTGTCTCGTCTCTCTCTGCCTCGTGTGTGGGGTGTCTCACTCCGCCTCCATCTCCCCCGTCTGTCTCGTGTCTCTCTGACTCGTGTGTGGGGTGTCTCACTCTGTCTCCATCTCCCCCGTCTGTCTCGTCTCTCTCTGACTCGTGTGTGGGTGTCTCACTCTGTCTCCATCTCCCCCGTCTGTCTCGTCTCTCTCTGACTCGTGTGTGGGGTGTCTCACTCTGTCTCCATCTCCCCCGTCTGTCTCGTCTCTCTCTGCCTCGTGTGTGGGGTGTCTCACTCTGTCTCCATCTCCCACGTCTGTCTCGTGTCTCTCTGCCTCGTGTGTGGGGTGTCTCACTGCGTCTCCATCTCCCGCGTCTGTCTCGTCTCTCTCTGCCTCGTGTGTGGGTGTCTCACTCTGTCTCCATCTCCCCCGTCTGTCTCGTCTCTCTCTGCCTCGTGTGTGGGGTGTCTCACTCTGTCTCCATCTCCCCCGTCTGTCTCGTCTCTGTCTGCCTCGTGTGTGGGGTGTCTCACTCTGTCTCCATCTCCCCCGTCTGTCTCGTCTCTCTCTGCCTCGTGTGTGGGGTGTCTCACTGCGTCTCCATCTCCCACGTCTGTCTCGTCCTGTCCCCGCATCCCCCCCCCCCCCCCCCCCCCCGTCTTGCCTCTCTTCGGTCTCCCTCCCGTCGAAGTCACCGCCCTGATAAATCTTTGCCGATCTCGCCGCGTCTCGTCGCGCAGACACGGGCACGTGCTACACGTTTGGAAGCAACCAGCACGGGCAGCTTGGCGGGGGAGCGCGCACCAGCAGCCGGGCGCCGCAGCCGGTGGACGGGCTCGGCGGGGTGAAGGTGGTGCAGGTCACCTGCGGCGACGCCTTCACCGTGGCCGTCGCCGAAGGTGACGACGACGGTGATGCTGCTGCTGCCGCCGCCGCCGTGTGTGCGCATGTGTGTGTGAACGTGCGTGTGCGAGTGTGAACGTGCTTGTGCGAGTGTGAACGTGCGTGTGCGAGTGTGAGCGTGCGTGTGCGAGTGTGAGCGTGCGTGTGCGAGTGTGAACGTGCGTGTGCGAGTGTGAACGTGCTTGTGCGAGTGTGAGCGTGCGTGTGCGAGTGTGAACGTGCGTGTGCGAGTGTGAACGTGCGTGTGCGAGTGTGAACGTGCGTGTGAGTGTGCGTGTGTGAACGTGCGTGTGCGAGTGTGAACGTGTGTATGTGAATGTGCGTGTGTGAACGTGCGTGTGTGAATGTGTGCGTGTGTGAACGTGCGTGTGTTGCGTGTGTGAACATGTGTGGGGAGCGGTAGTGTAGCAGTAGTGTAGTGAGCGCGCTGCGCTACGAACCCAGAGACCCAAGTTCAATTCCCGCTCACGGCCACCATCACCGGTAACGATTATCTCAACCAGTCCTGGGCCTCTCCTAGGTCGACTCAGCCTTAAACGAGTACCCGGTGCGATGTGTAGTAAACATCGCCACGAGGGTGACGAAGGCGGCCGGGCGTGGTACTGGCCACCCACCACCTCGTCTGCCATGATGGCCTTACATGGGGGATCTTTGTTATCTTTGTGTCTGTGCACTCCCCGCCTTCACCAACACGTATTGACCGGTGTGAAATAACTCTCACGGTGTGGGGGAGCCTCTCATCCAGCAGCTAATTGGTGAAAGTTCTGTAACCATGACCATCTCGTGCCAGGGGGGTGGGGGCCTCTTTGCTCAGAGCACTTGGCTCAGACGCCCCATCATCAATATTGTCACTCCCGTGGTGATAAATTAAGTAACACTTTGTGTGAAGTCAAAGAGGTCGTTGTTTGCACAGACTGGGGCACTCAAGCAATGCTTGAGTGTGTGCGTCTCTCTGGTGTAGTTTCACGCAAGCCGCGCCAACGCGCGTTCACGCAAGATGACTCGCGTTTGTCTTTTAAAAGAACACATGTTAACTTCGTTGCACAAAGATAACCTGTGCAGATCCGTGCTCGCGCGCGCGTGATTCTCCCGTGCGCGCGTGATTCTCCCGTGCGCTCGTTTCAGGAGGGCAAGTGTTCACGTGGGGGAAGGCCGCGCGGGGGAGGCTGGGCCGGACCGACGGCGAGGCCTGCTCCCCCAGGCCCGTGCAGCTCCAAGAGACGTTCCCCTACGCGGTCACCTCCGTGTCCAGCCGGCACGGCAACACGCTGCTCTCCGTGCACTGCGCCTCGCAGTGCCGCTGACGCCGCCCTTCGTCAACGACCAAATTCCTCGCAGCGGCGGCGCCGGTGGCTTGCCCGAGCCCACTCACAATGTTGAACGTTGTGATGCCTCTGGGTCGACCATCCACCCATTGTTGATGTTACTGATTTTACTAATTTTGACCTTTGTTTTTAACTGCCAAACTGCTTGCCTCAATGTCACTAACAGTACCAAGTTTGGTTATACCTAGACCTCCTGGAAGGGCCTCCCCATTGATGTTTGGGGGTTGTTTGACCATACCTCCCCACACTGGTCAGAGTGGGTCAGTGAAGTGTGGGGCAGGACCACTTGGTGAGATATCACTCGCCACGGATAGCAGCCTGCGGCCAGGAATCGAACTCCGGTCACCGAGCTCATCGCGCAGCGTGCCGACCGCTGCACCGCCGCTCCTCCCCAGGTTGGGCGAGGATGATCAAATGTGTGTTGGGATATATGTCGCGGGAGGTGAAACAATCACTGACAGGTCACTGTGCACTGAACAAAACGATGTTTTATTGTCAATACATTTGTATTTATATTTACGTGCGTGCAGCGTGACTTGCATACGCCACGGGTGGCACATTGGTTTTAGGCCCAGGCTGCTCTGGGCCTACCCCCCCCCCGCAGCCTGGGCCTACCCGTCCCCCCCCACACAGCCCCCTCTCCTCCTGCTCCCCATAGCCCCCCACAGCCCCCCACATTTCTCCCCAACGGAACAGATGCCCCAAATTCAATCGTTTTTTCTCGTGTCGTTATCAAAACCCCCTTCTTGACGTACGACGTCACTGCGCCTTCTTGCGGCCCTCGTGCCACTGTGCGCGCCACTCGTCGGCCTGCAGGAGGCTTGCGGAGATGGCCCAGCCGGCGCTCTGCAGCCCGGCGAGCACCTCCGGGAAGAGGCGCGTCGCGAAATCTTGAGACGCCGACGAGCGGTGGTCGCCGTCGGTTACTTCTGCGCCAGGAAACGAGAGCCAAAGTCAACATCGAGGGTTAGGTTAAAAAAAACTAGTTGCCAATTTTTTCACGTTATCATCAGATAGCACTGGAGCTGTCCATTGCACGTTTCGTCATTTGTTCCTATTTTCCTCTCCGTCATGTAGTGCCAGGATGCTCAAGCAGGACCACACTTGGCACCAATCTCTTATTTTTTCGTCATGAGATTCTCTCTGTTAGGTCTTCCTCTCTTTCCATTTCCTTCCATTTTTCCCAAACAAAGCAATTTTTTTCTTCTCAGGTTAATTGCCATTTATCCAGAGAATCCCTCTCACCGGGTGAGTCTTCGGACTTTCGGGACCTGCTGCCAAGTATGGAAATTTAAATGGAACACATTTTTCATTGGCAACCTTCTGATTGCGAGCGGCACGCTCGAGTTCGGAGACAGCGCCATTGACACGCGGCTGTCCCCGCGGTCCCGTGGGTTTTTCTCCGGGTCCCTCCGGTTTTCCCCTCCACACTTAGAATCAACGTCACGCGTTTAGAGTATTTGGCTGCTAGAAATCTCCACATGATGATGATGATGATAAGCCCACTTCGTTGAGATATCATTTGTGGCCAGGTAACTTCTGAAAAAAAGAGCTACACAGCTCAGTGGGGCCTTACCTGCTAAAATAAAAACAAGTTGAGTAAAGTGCACCCACTGTTACGGACTCCGCAGAAGGGCCGCTACGACTCGCCTCTCTGCAGCTGCAGGAAGCCGTCCCGGTGCGCCGCGGCCACCTCCACGGAGGCCCCGCGCAGCAGAGCGAGGCTCAGCAGCTGTGCGTGGAAGCAGGCCGCGATGATGTCGCTCGCGCCGGCCGAGTAGTGCAGGACGATCGAGACGGCTCCTGCACGACGCCCGCCCGAGAATCAGAGCCAGCCGCCACCCGTCGTGGCGACGGTCGGGGCAAGTTGCCGACTGGCGAGCGGCACCCACGAAGGCCGTCGACGGGACGCGGGCGGAGGGAGGCCACCCTGCCCCTGTTCTGGATTCAGGGCTCCACGTCGAAACTCGCAAGGGCCGTTTCCACCACGCCGGTCAGCGCGTGCTCACGAAGGTGTGGTGGTGGGTTTAGATATTGTACCGCACGTACGTTGGAACTTCTTTCGCACCGTACGTAGCCGACCGTGCTAATCGGAGGTGCGGGGGGAAGGACTACAACACTAAACACTGCAACACTGCTTCACCCGGTTAGCGTGAGCAAAACACTCTAACAAGGTCAACGCTCAATAAAATTGCCAAGCGGTGAGAATGTTGACACGTGCTCTGTTCCTGGACACCGCTGAATCGGCGGTTGGCACGGAGAACCGAGGCCTTCCAGGCCGGCGCCTGCGCCGCCCTGTCCCGTGGGCTCCGGTGCAGTTACACCGCCTGCACACTCGACAGCCAAGCCACTGAGTGGCACGGTCTGGCACGCAGCCAAACAAAGTCACGGTCCCATGCCACCTGCTACACTCACCGCGCGCTTTGTTTAGTCGGAGGAGGTACTTCCTGTCGCTTGCATCCTTCGGTAGTTCACTTGCCCTGCAACGCAACAAAGGAACCCAACATGGAAACGGTTTCCAGCCAAGCGGAAACTGGGCTTTGAAAATGGTGGAAAGGGCCACGGTCAAGTCACGTGTGGGAGCACACGCCCAGACGTCACGAAGCAGCAGCGTCCACCCTGGCTCGCTCAACCCCGAGCGGTCCCTTCTGGCAGAGCCCCCTTAGCAAGCCCCCTTCCCCAGGGGTCCTTCTTGGCAAGGCCCCTCAAGCGAGCCTCCTTCTTATCCCCGAGTCTCGCTCTGATGCAGCCTCACGAGGTCACGAGGTCGTGAGGCCATCCTCCTCGGCCTCTCCTCCAACCCACGAGCTTCTCGAGCGCAGAGAACTCAGTGGGCAAGGGGTCAACGCGGGGGGCAAGGGGTCAACACGGAGGGGGGGGGGCAGCGTCAACACGGGGGGGCAAGCAAGGAGCCACGTGCTCAAGGTGTGGGTGTGGGAGCCTCACGTGGTGACGACGTCGGCGAAGGGAACGCCGACGTTGACCGCGAGGGAACTTGCCGAAGGCTGCGGGGATCACAAAGCAGGCGGTTGCCGTCCGAGCGTCTCGTGTGGCATCTCGCAAACATTCCACGTCGTCTCTTTCACCGCTTTATTACACTTAGGCTGCCCGTGTCGTGTACGTTTGTATGTATATGTACACGTGTGTACATGTGCGTGTACGTGTGTAAATGTGTACATATACGTGTGTACGTGTGTATGTAGGTGTGTGTATGTATGTGTACGTGTGTATGTATGTGTACGTGTGTATGTAGGTGTATGTGTATGTATGTGTGTACGTGTGTATGTATGTGTGTGTGTATGTATGTGTGTGTACGTGTGTATGTATGTGTGTGTCTAAGTGCATGTATGTGTGTATACGTGTGTATGTATGTGTGTGTACGTGTGTATGTATGTGTGTATGTATGTGTGTCTACGTGCACGTATGTTGATTTTTGCGCCGCGGGTAGCCAACTGTGCGAATCGGAGGTCACGCGGACGAGGGCGGAGAAACTCTCGCAGGAAGCAATGCCGTTGTTACAAATTGAACAAATGATGCTGCTAAGTCGGCAGTGGTGCACAAGGACACGTAATCATTTTTAAAAACTCAAACACGTTCGTAAATAACTCGGCTGAGAAAACGCTAAATAAATATATAATAGACGATGTTTCGGGCAACGCGTCACGACAAATCGCCGAGCGTGTCGCTGCTTGACAGTCGGGTCCATACCCTACTGCAAGCAATCGGTTGCTCAACTGCTCCCTTGCAACCGGTTGCACGGTATGCCCGCGCGTAAGAGATTTGAATTGCGCGCAACTCGGGCGCGAAGCCAGCTTCGAATGAAAACCTCTGCCGAGTGAGCGGGCGATGGAGTGGGTGGGCGAGCGACAGGGCGAGCGACGGGGCGAGCGACGGGGCGAGCGACAGAGCGAGTAGGCGAGCGGGCGAGCGACTGAGCGAGTGGGCGAGCGACTGGGCGAGCGGGCGAGCGAGCGAGCGACGGGGTGAGCGACAGAGCGAGCTGGCGAGCGAGCGACGGGGCGAGCGACAGAGCGAGCAGGCGAGCGAGCGACGGGGCGAGCGACAGAGCGAGCAGGCGAGCGAGCGACGGGGCGAGCGACTGAGCGAGCGACTGAGCGAGTGGGCGAGCTGGGCGGCCGTGCCTGGCATGACGGACTCGCGGGCGTTGGCGGCGGCGGGGCTCGGGACGGAGCCGTGGGCGAGGAAGTGGCGCGCCACGATGGCGAGCCGCGCGTGGTTCAGCGTCTCCATGACGACGCAGCTCACGGCGCGGTAGTTCGCAAAGAGGTGCAGCGCGGTGAACAGCAGGAAGAGGGTCCACGTCAGCCTGGGGTGGGGGGGGGGGCGGTCGAACCTCGGTCAAGGTTAAGCAACCGGGAGAGATTTTGAAGTTGGTGGGACTTCTTTTTCACGCTGCCAATGTTGGGGTCGAGATTAGCAGCGGGTAAGTTGACATCGAGGTGATTGATGGAGCCAGATGATTGCGTCAGGAGCAGCGGAGTGGGGAATCGTCGCTGTTGTGATGGTTCCTCCTCTCTGTGAATGGGGCACCGAGTCGATGTCACGAGTTGCACGGTCTCTGTTCGGGGCGGTGTGACCACAGTCTGGGTGGTGTGACCACAATCTGGGTGGTGTGACCACTGTCTGGGTGGTGTGATCACAGTCTGGGCGGTGTGACCACAGTCTGGGCGGTGTGACCACAGTCTGGGTGGTGTGACCACAATCTGGGCGGTGTGACCACGGTCTGGGCGGTGTGACCACGGTCTGGGCGGTGTGACCACAGTCTGGGTGGTGTGACCACAGTCTGGGTGGTGTGACCACGGTCTGCGTGGTGTGACCACAGTCTGGGCGGTGTGACCACGGTCTGGGTGGTGTGACCACAGTCTGGGCGGTGTGAGCACAGTCTGGGTGGTGTGACCACAGTCTGGGCGGTGTGACCACAGTCTGGGTGGTGTGACCACAGTCTGGGCGGTGTGACCACAGTCTGGGCGGTGTGACCACAGTCTGGGTGGTGTGACCACAGTCTGGGCGGTGTGACCACAGTCTGGGTGGTGTGACCACGGTCTGGGCGGTGTGACCACGGTCTGGGTGGTGTGACCACAGTCTGGGTGGTGTGACCACAGTCTGGGTGGTGTGACCACAGTCTGGGTGGTGTGACCACAGTCTGGGTGGTGTGACCACAGTCTGGGCGGTGTGACCACAGTCTGGGTGGTGTGACCACGGTCTGGGCGGTGTGACCACAGTCTGGGTGGTGTGACCACAGTCTGCGTGGTGTGACCACAGTCTGGGCGGTGTGACCACGGTCTGGGTGGTGTGACCACAGTCTGGGTGGTGTGACCACAGTCTGCGTGGTGTGACCACAGTCTGGGTGGTGTGACCACGGTCTGGGTGGTGTGACCACAGTCTGCGTGGTGTGACCACAGTCTGGGTGGTGTGACCACAGTCTGCGTGGTGTGACCACAGTCTGGGTGGTGTGACCACAGTCTGCGTGGTGTGACCACGGTCTGGGTGGTGTGACCACGGTCTGGGCGGTGTGACCACAGTCTGCGTGGTGTGACCAGCCGGCCTCTCTCTCTGCTCGTCCCGAGGTGACTTACGTGGGGTTGTTGGTCACCAGCGGCGTGAGCATCAGACTGAAAACCAGCGCCGCGAGGTTCACGAGCGTCTCCTGCGTAAAGGAGAGCAGCACTGTGACGGGGCAGCACTGTGACGGGGCAGCACTGTGACGGGGCAGCACTGTGACGCACTGTGACGGGGCAGCACTGTGACAGGGCAGCACTGTGACGGGGCAGCACTGTGACGGGGCAGCACTGTGACGCACTGTGACGGGGCAGCACTGTGACGGGGCAGCACTGTGACGGGGCAGCACTGTGACGGGGCAGCACTGTGACAGGGGCAGCACTGTGACGGGGCAGCACTGTGACGGGGCAGCACTGTGACGCACTGTGACGGGGCAGCACTGTGACGGGGCAGCACTGTGACGGGGCAGCACTGTGACAGGGGGCAGCACTGTGACGCACTGTGACGGGGCAGCACTGTGACGGGGCAGCACTGTGACAGGGTGCAGCACTGTGACAGGGGGCAGCACTGTGACGGTGCAGCACTGTGACAGGGGGCAGCACTGTGACGGGGCAGCACTGACGGGGCAGCACTGTGACAGGGGGCAGCACTGTGACAGGGGGCAGCACTGTGACAGGGGGCAGCACTGTGACGGGGCAGCACTGTGACAGGGGGCAGCACTGTGACGGGGCAGCACTGTGACAGGGGGCAGCACTGTGACAGGGGGCAGCACTGTGACGGGGCAGCACTGTGACGGGGCAGCATTGTGACGGGGCAGCACTGGGACAGGGGGCAGCACTGACGGGGCAGCACTGTGACGGGGCAGCACTGTGACGGGGCAGCACTGTGACAGGGGGCAGCACTGTGACGGGGCAGCACTGACGGGGCAGCACTGTGACGGGGCAGCACTGTGACAGGGGGCAGCACTGTGACAGGGGGCAGCACTGTGACGGGGCAGCACTGACGGGGCAGCACTGTGACGGGGCAGCACTGTGACGGGGCAGCACTGACGGGGCAGCACTGTGACAGGGGGCAGCACTGTGACGGGGCAGCACTGACGGGGCAGCACTGTGACGGGGCAGCACTGTGACGGGGCAGCACTGTGACAGGGGGCAGCACTGTGACGGGGCAGCACTGTGACGGGGCAGCACTGTGACAGGGGGCAGCACTGTGACGGGGCAGCACTGACGGGGCAGCACTGTGACGGGGCAGCACTGTGACGGGGCAGCACTGTGACAGGGGGCAGCACTGTGACGGGGCAGCACTGACGGGGCAGCACTGTGACTGGGGCAGCACTGTGACGGGGCAGCACTGTGACGGGGCAGCACTGTGACGGGGCAGCACTGTGACGGGCACGTCGGGCAGCCCTCCTGCCGAGACTCAACAAGCGTCGACCACAAGGAAAAAACTTCGCTCGGAGGAGGCATCCTCGGGTGTTGGGCCGCACCTCCGATTGGCACGTTGGGCTGCGTACGGTGCAAAAGAAATTCAACATGCGTACGTACGCTAGATATCCATTGTAATTTATGTGACCACATTAACCCCCCACCCCTCTCGCACCTGATTGGCTAACAGTGACGACATCACACTTGCATCACATGAGACCGAAAACAGGAGCAATTCTCCACAAATCTGGCTATTGCCTGATGAGGCTGGTTGTTCTTGTAATTACCGGTGAAACGTCACGGTACTTGAATTGTAAACGTTGTCGTGGGTTTACTTTCCAAAACACCGTGTGTGTGTGTGTGCCGAACTCGTAACGAATTGGCACGTTTTGTTTACGTGGCAAACCTGACTGATTGGCTGGTGGCGGGGTTAATGACACGTTTATATTTACGCGATCTAGCCCCAAAAACACCTCTACTTGGATACACTCTGATGTTAGCCGTGGCTGGGAACGGAAACCCAGGTCGCTGGGTCCATTATCGCGCTGCGCGAAGTTGGGCGCGTGGCCACACACAGCAGGCACACACACAGACACACACAGCAGGCACACACACAGACACACACAGCAGGCACACACACACACAGGCACACACAGGCACACACACATGCACACACACAGGCACACACACACACATAGACACACACACACACACATGCACACACAGGCACACACACATGCACACACACAGGCACACAGACACACACATAGACACACACACAGGCACACACACACACAGCAGGCACACACACACAGGCACACACAGGCATGCACACACAGGCATGCACACACAGGCATGCACACACACAGGCACACACACAGACACACACACAGGCACACACACACACAGACACACACAGACACACACACAGGCACACACACACAGACACACACAGACACACACACAGGCACACACACACAGACACACACACACACAGACACACACACACAGACACACACACACAGACACACACACACAGACACACAGACACACACACACACAGGCACAGACACAGACACACACACACAGACACACACACAGACACACACAGACACAGACACACACACACAGCCCCGTGGACGGCGTTGGTCACCTGACTGCCGTCCTTCGCCGACACGTCGGCCATGTTGTCGCGCCGAGCTTGGTGCACGGTGAGAGCCGCCCTGGTCGCTCCTCCCGCGACGCCCACCACGGACTGGGGGCATCACACACGACGCACGCACCACGGGTTCACGACACACGCACCACGGGTTCACGACGCACCACGGGTTCACGACACACGCACCACGGGTTCACGACGCGCCGTCACGGTGGGGGTCACGCTACTGTCGCTCTCATTGGCTGGGCGGACGGTGGGGGCGGCTACGTTTCCTCGGCCGACGCTGCTGCGTTCTCGTAAGCGCCATTTAGATTTTTTATTTAATTTTTTATTGTAAAAATGTTCTTCAGGACAAAGGCTTTTCTTTACATTTTTCAAAGCGGCGTCGGAGTGAATCGATGGCACTTTAAATCAAATGACGTTCCCCAATTGGTTGGAGCCGTACTATTGAAGCAACGTAAGAGCGAGAAATGAATTTGTGGCGACGGGGTCAGCGACGTGCGCACGCCGCTCAAGCTCACCTTGAGCACGCCGGAGACGCACACGACGAACGTGAAGAGAGGCGGGAAGCCGGGAGCCAGGATCTCCAGGAATATCGCGACGTCATTCAGCACGTCGGCAAACAACCTTCAGCGTAGACAACGACGACTATGAGAGACGGGCGGCGGTTGTCGTAGTAATCATAATAAGTACTCGCCTATTTGTGACGGCAATCAAGGGGGGAGGGGGGATTAATCCCAAAACTCAAACGCCTTCGTCAATAACACCGTGTGTGCCGCCTTAAAGTATATTTAGAAAAAATTAACGACGTTTCTCGGGCAATGTCCCATCTACTTCACAGCACTCGAGAGGGCAGAGGGGGCGATAAGAGTTGGAGACTTGTTCACGCCACGCAGCCTGATGAGACGTTACATTGTCAAAGATGTTTTCTGATGACCAGTTCTATTGTTGTTTAAATAGGCGTACGGACAGTGACACTATCAGTAGCTGTTGAGTAATATAAAGAAAACCCTTAAAAATGAAAAGTATATATTGTATGAATAAACAATCCAGGGCAAGGAGATTGCGATCGCTAGGAGGTTGGGACTAGAACGTGGCCGGAGAGCGCTGGAGATGACACCAGGGAGAGGAGGGAGGTTGCGGTGGGTGGGACGTACGATCAGTCTGCTCTCCTGTAACGCGCGAGTTGTTGCGTTTCTGAAGAACGCCGCGTTGTGGAAAAATGTCGTTATAATAAAATACGAGAGGGTAAAGCGCAGCCCGCCATGGCGCGTGAGGTGCGTACACAGGCTGAACAAAGACCGAGGCGCGTGGTGGGTGGCATCTACATGAATCCAGCAGCATCCCAACGCCTTGTTGCTTTTAACAATTTCTTGTTAAACCAGGCAAGGCCCCACTGAACTACGGGGCAATTTTTTCAGAAGCGACCTGGCCACAATTGATAACGAAGTGGCTTATCAACATCATCATCATGTGGAAATTTAAAGCGACAGTCAAATATTCTAAACGCGTGATGTTGATTCTAAATGTGGAGGGAAAAACCGGAGTACTCGGAGAACAGTCCACGCGACCACGGGGCAGAGAGAGACACCGCAAACTCCAAATAATACAGGTGCCGGGATAAGACCCACGACCTCCTGCATACCAGGAGAGGTAGTCAACATCTCACCACAGTACACTCACGCTTCTGTTATCACAGCTGCTTTACCTCCATTTCTTCGCATCGCAATCCAGATTGGACCTGCAAAAGAAGACGCATTTAAATGCCAATGTGTTATTCATCTTGGCACGTGGGTGGTGGGTGGTGGTGGTGGGGGATGGTGGTGGGTGGTGGTGGGTGGTGGTGGGTGGTGGTGGATGGTGGGTGGTGGTGGGTGATGATGGGTAGTGGGTGGTGGTGGGTGGTGGTGGGTGGTGGTGGTGGGTGGTGGTGGTGGGTGGTGGGTGGTGGTGGGTGGGTAGTGGAGGTGGGTGGTGGTGGGTGGTGGATGGTGGTGGGTGGTGGAGGTGGGTGGTGGGTGGGTAGTGGAGGTGGGTGGTGGTGGGTGGTGGTGGATGGTGGTGGGTGGTGGTGGGTGGTGGTGGGTGGTGGTGGTGGGTGGTGGTGGGTGGTGGTGGTGGGTGGGTAGTGGAGGTGGGTGGTGGGTGGGTAGTGGAGGTGGGTGGTGGTGGGTGGTGATGGGTGGTGGGTGATGGGTGGTGGGTGGGTAGTGGAGGTGGGTGGTGGTGGGTGGGTAGTGGTGGTAGGTGGTGGTGGGTGGTGGGTGGGTGGTGGTGGTGGGTGGTGGTGGGTGGTGGGTGGGTAGTGGTGGTGGGTGGGTGGTGGTGGGTGGTGGTGGGTGGATGGTGGTGGGTGGTGGTGGGTGGGTGATGGGTGGTGGTGGTGGGTGGGTAGTGGAGGTGGGTGGTGGGTGGGTAGTGGTGGTGGATGGTGGTGGGTGGTGTTGGTGGTGGGTGGTGGGTCCTGGTGCAGTTTTAATGGAGACTTTTCACGATAACCCTCCACCACCTGACAGAGCCAATCAAGTTGTCACGCTGTGGGCAAACACGCCACTTGATTTGGTTGATCGGTAAAAAAAAAACCCAGAGGAGGAGGAGGAATGTTGCAAATCCGCAGCGAGGTACGACGACTTTGCTCCACGTGCTGCAGCGTCTGTTGACACCCGGTGCCGGTTGTTATCTACCCGAGAGGTGTGACGGCGATGTGCTGGTTGTTTTCCTCGGGGGAATATTATAATAATAATATATAATAATGCTTCGTTTCACGTATAGCAGGCGTCGTTCATACAAATTTCATCGCAATCGCTGAGGAGCCACAGACACGAGCCGGAAGGCAGCGGCAGCGGTGGCGGCTAGGGCACTGAGCCGGCGTTCCAAACAATTCCCCAAGCTTTGCAGTCCTCTATATATCGAGATGTTTGCTCGCCAATCAAACTAAATAGATCTTCGTAGCTCCTGAGATTCCTCCCGGATAAATCAGGATCCTCATTCTGAAAAGCCATTCGATATTTTGATTAAGAGTGCTCGTGCGTGTGGGAGGAAGCTGTCGTGTTGGACGGCGCGGTGAGGGAGGACGTACCCCTTCTTCCAGGCGAACACGATGCTGCCCAGCATTCCCGTTCCACCTGCAAAATACAAAATTAAACACTCCAACATGTAGAAACCGGCGTGGTGAAGCATGGCCACATAACCCCCCCCCGCCCCCAGCCTCATCACCGGCATGGGGAAGCTCTCATCTAAGGGTGCCGCGGTGGCTAGGAGATGTTAACTACCTCGCCTGGTACGCAGGAGGTCGTGGGTTCGATGCCGAGATGTCAACTACCTCGCCTGGTACGCAGGAGGTCGTGGGTTCGATCCCGAGATGTTAACTACCTCGTCTGGTACGCAGGAGGTCGTGGGTTCGATGCCGACCCTGAGGCCTGCTGTGTATTTGGAGTTTGCGTGTCTCTCTCTCTCTCCCAGTGTATCTCCGCGTCCTCTGGTTTTTCCCTCCACATTTATGAGCAACATCACTCGTCCGGAGTATTTCGCTGCTGCTATCAGTTTACACTTGACAAGCCAGGATCTCTCATTTGTGGCCAGGTCACTTTTGAAAAGTACCTACATAGCTCAGTGGGCCTTACCTCGTAAAATAAAACAAATTTTCGTTTCGTTTTTACCGGCAGTCCGCCAAAAGGAGCCGTTACGCGTCCTGCAATGTTTAAAGCGGCGTGTATTTTATCGGGTGATTGCATCACCAAGCCCCGCCGGCCAAAGCGTCCGGAACGTGCCCGATCTCGGCCAATCTGTGGAGGCAGCGAGCGTCAGTGCAACGCGTGGAAGTGTCGATGGGCTCTCGGCAGAGGTAGCTCTCTGATCTCCGCTTCAGCGGGCCGCTCTCCCGCACCAAGGGGTCGCGCTGCTCCGCCAGGTTTTCCCAACGGATTCTTCGGCTCATGACGCCGACGGCACAATCCGGACACAATTTTAACGTGCAATATATAAAATATTTATATATAATATATATGTTAAGTGATTATAGTTGTTGTTTATTGAGAGTTGGGTCAGCGAGTGTCACCGGGAAACAAATTGCCAGACATCCACATCACTTGCAACTCACTCGAGTTATATCCCACGTAGAAGCGTGGCCACTTTAATTGAGTGGAAGCTTCACATGTCGCCCATCCGCGGCACGTCAACGATATAGAGCACGACAGCTCATTGGCTTCCTCCGGTCGACACAAAGATTCTAATCTACGATTATTGTCCGCCGAACGTGTGGCCGCTCGCGTCCCGGCCCCGTCGCGGCCCCCACAGCGAACTCACTCCGCAGCAGCCAGGTGACGGTGGCCCCGGCCAGCGAGGCGGCCCCGTCGCCCACGCCCACTCCCTTGAGCATGGCCTGCGTGGCCAGCGCGCCCGTCACGCTGCTGCAGAACGCCTGCACGCACCACCACCACCAACACCACCACCAACACCACCAACACCACGGTGGCATCAACGCGCTGACCACAGCCTCGTCTTCACGCTCACCTGAGCCGACAGACCGTGTCCTGGAGTCTCACCCACACCCGGGGGAACGCTGCCGCCGCTGCTGCCGCTGCCGCCGCTGCTGCGCGAACAGAGTGGAACAACGCGGCCGTCCAGAATAAACTATCCCTCATTGGAGACCCGGGCATCATCACCGCACTGCCTCCTGGCGTTGGCATTCCTCTTCCTCCTTCAAGGCACTCGCGGGGCCATCAAGCGCATCAGAACATCGACCGCTGAAAGTTGCGCGGCGACGCACCTGCAGCGTGTCCCACGTCTGGTAAGTCCGGTAGTCCTCGCTCACGCTCTCCGGGTAGCCTTGGGGCAGGAAGACCGACTGCCACAAAGGGGGGAGATTGGACGCAGGGTTAGCACACCTGGCAGCGGCAGGCCCAAAGCTCCGGGTTAAGGAGGACACACACACACACACACACACAGTACACACACACACAGTACACACACACAGCACACACACACAGTACACACACAGCACACACACAGTACACACACACACAGTACACACACAGTACACACACACACACAGTACACACACACAGCACACCCACACAGTACACACACACAGCACACCCACACAGTACACACACACAGCACACACACAGCACACACACAGCACACACACAGCACACACACAGCACACACACAGCACACACCGTGAGAGTGTAGAGGAGGCTGCCGCCACTGAGCCCGTGGCTGCGCCAGGCGGCGGCGGCTCCGCGGGCCGCGCGCCGGTAGTGGCGCTCGGGGCGACGGCTCCCGTAGCGCTCGCTCGCCACGATCTCCCCCTCCTCACCCTCCACCTCATCCACCTCATCCACCCCCTCCACCCCCTCCACCTCCTCCTCCATGGCCATCTTCGTCCACGCCAAACCCTTCCTGCAGTCATCATAATCAGCAGCAGCATCAGCAGCGGTTACCGGGTGTATGTTGATGTATGTTGAACGATGGCTGGTGACGGGACATTCATAGCAGCCCAAACACTCTGAGCGCAAACACTCTGAGCGCGCGTTGATTCTAAACGTGGACGACCCGGAGAAAAATCCACGCGACCACGGGGAGAGAAACACGCAGACTCCACTACCCCATCACCACTCCTCACATCACCATCACCACCCCATCACCACTCCTCACCATCACCACTCACAACCCCCATCGCCGCTCCCCCCCTCTAACAGACTGCTGAGGCACGTGTGTGTATACGTGTGTGTACGTGTGTGTGTATACGTGTGTGTGGCGCGCGTGTGTGGCGAGGGGGTGGTTGGCCAGCACCACGCCCGGCCGCCTTTGTCTCACCAGCGCTAATGTTTACTACACACCGCACCAAAGGTACGCATTTTAGGCCGAGTAGACCTCGGGGAGGCCCAGGACCGGTTCAGATAATCGTCACCGGTGTTGGTGGCCGTGAGCGGGAAATCAAACTCGGGTCGCTGGGGTTGGTAGCGCTAACTGCTGCACCACCGCTCCCCTAATTCAACCAGCCCTCTCATCGAACCTCACAACTCCTCCCCCCTCACCTCGCCTCCACTCCCCACCGCCTGATCCACGCGGCGCCGTTGACACGCGGCGAGTGAGAGAGCGGCGATGATGAGAGACAGGGAGAGAGAGAGAGACAGGGAGAGAGGGGGACACGTGTTTCGTGTGTAGTGACAGAGACACGCGTTCCGTGTTTGGCGGTGGCCGCGAGGGAAGGGGGCGAACCCCCGGGCACGTCACTTCCTGTCGTGACCCCTCCCCCATCCCCCTCCTCAGCCCCCCCCTCCGCCCCTCCCCCTCCTCAGCCCCACCCCCTCCTCAGCCCCCCCCCCCTCCTCAGCCCTCTTCCCTCACCCCTCCCACCCCTCCCCCTCTCCGCCCCCTCACACCCCTCCCCGCCCCACCCCCTCCCCCTCCCCTCCCCTACTTCCCCCTCCCCTCCCTCTCCGACCCCTCCCCCCCTCCCCGGTGATCACTGCGGCGCGCGTGAACTATGACGTACACGGGCGCGTGCTTCACAGCGCGGGGGTAACGATCCCTCCCATGACGTCATCCGACCCGAGTCGGCCATTGCGTGCTGACTGTCACGGCACAAATCTCGACAAAAAAATGGACCCCACAGTCTTGACTGGGATTAAACATGACGTCATCCCTCCTTACCGGCAGACGAATGGCCACTTCGGTTCAACGCGAAGAGGGCTTTCGCGACCAACATCATCCATAAGGTTGTTTTGGGTGAGATCGCGTAAACATGAATGTGTCGTTAAACCCGCCACCACCCGCCACGGCCAATTAGTAAGGTTTGCCACGTAAACAGAACGTGCCCACGTGTTAGTAGTGTAGTAGAGTTACCCACTCGATGTTCACAAACTGGGAGAGCAAATCGTTAACAAGGTTTTCCCGCTCAAACTAACGGTCAGGGTCAGATAGGGTGAATTGGGATCGAAAAGCAGATTGGGAACGACCAATCACAGGGTTCCACAAGTTGGCCGGGGATTGGACAACCCGGCCACAAACAAGTATAATGCCAGAGCGCTCAGAGCTCTCCGGGAGTTCGACTACACGAAGACCCAAGACGGCGGAAGAAGCCTAGGACCCTGGACCAAGTCCTCCAGCCCTTATAAGGGCTAGGGTTCAGAGTAACCAGTGGTCGGGGAGACATCTCCCTAGGTCCAGTCAGAGGACACTGAAGGAGCGGGATGTTAAGTAGCCTGTAGGGTGCGGAGGCTTGTACGTTCTGAGTGTAACGGGTGAGGGGACCGTATACCCCTCAGTGCATAGGGACTGTGTTAATAAGACGAATAAAAGTGTGTGCTACAAAAGACGTTGAAGAGTCCGTCTGTACAACACTACACTAGCACAGCACACCGGTTGTGTGGGGTTGGAGAGCGAATCCACACAACAGGTAATGATGAAGAAGCCCACTTCGCAGGGTGCCATGCAGACAGCGGCCGCGCCGAGGGTGACCTTTGAACGTTTGAGCACCGATGCGTTAGGCGCTTGAGAGTTGCCGAGGCATTTAGGCAACGGCAAACGCGCATGCGAAAGTATTGTCGGTGCGGAGACCCATTGGTTGGCTTGGCCAAGTCGGCGAGGTGAGCGTTGGCGATCGCACATGGATTTGGTGGAATTGCCTTTGCCGAAAGTCCAGTTGCCACCAGAAATCACATTCTGCAAATGGCCCTCTGCGTCTATGTCTGTGCGTTGAACTTCTTTCGCAGCGTACGTAGCCGGCCGCGCTAACCGGACGGTGCGGGGGAAGGACAACAAACTAGACAGACAGCAGTTTTGAAGAAATTCAGTCCTGAAATATCGTAGGGTCGCGGCATCTGTTGACCTGGCACACAGCCGGCACGAGTCTCTGTGCGTGTGGACCACGTGGTGACGACCCTTGAGATTCTGTATCTCTAGAGTTCTGATAAAACGCCGTGGGGCAATTGAGACTGCAACTCTGCAGCCTTGAGACGGCAAATATTGATAGGGAGAAAAAAATACTTTCAAAGGTTTCACAATAAAGCAAAAATATTAACTCTGAGACAATGTGAGGGTACACGCAAGCATTTATTAAGATAAACATTTAATTCAGCTTGAAAGACATTAGGTGTCCACAGTTATATATAGTCCTGAATGAACACTTTACTTCAACATGCTTGATATAATACTCATTAACTAGTATATGTTACTATTAATAGATTCAAACAGAAAAGTCTAACATTGGCATGTAAAAAATAAAAATGATACACGCACACAAAACGTAATTGTGAAGGTTTAAAATACAGGTGAAAATAATAAATTACATAAAATACCTATTACCACATTCTCGCAAAAACACATACTACTACAACACCGATGTGTAGTAGGTTGCTAAACAGCAGCAATTATATCAAACTATGGGCTACTGAAGATTACAGAGCTGCTAACCGTTTTTCTGCACGTTCAGTCACTCCTACGGCATGCATGCATGACAGAGATTACGGTCACATTCCATGGATTCCGAAGAGTCTATTAAAAGACAAAGCATCATTAAAAAAAATCGTGCGATTTGGCAAAAAAAAATTCACAAATGAGACGAGTGGCTAACATCCACTCGGTTCGCCGCTCAGTTTTCTTCAGCTCCATGCACATCAAATGCATTCATTTTACACCGGTTCATTTCCACGCGCTATCATCGTCACCAACAGTGACGGGAAAAAGCTATTCCAACAGTTAATCCCTGTCGTGAATTAAGTTCATCTGCGCAAATTACGTGGGTCAAACGTATACGCAGCACAACCCACATGTCAAGAAAATTCGGCTTCATTGTATTTGCCAAAAATCAACTTTAAACGTCTTGAATCATGCCGCTCGCCAAAAGCTCCCAAGCAAATGTGCGCGCACGCCACAGAGGAAGGGAAAGAGATAACGCACACAAATCACCCGTTCCAGAAAAAAAAGAACTTTAACCATGCAAACAAAAAAAACACGAATCACTCGCACGTGCACGAAGCCTGAAAGTCACACTTTCCCAACCTACACGCACCGATTGATTAAAAAAAGATTGTCAATAAGGGAAAGAGATCATTATTTATCTGGTGACCTAGCAGGTTTCAACATTTTATGTTGACAAACGTTGATTTTTGTTTATAAATTGTAGTTTCTAAAGCGATGTCCCGAGGTTTACAACGCAAGCGTTGCCTCACCACCAGAGTAGCTCCGAGTACAGACGAGTTGAGAGCTGGCAAAGAGTTCTCGATTTGGATCAGGTTGACAATTACGGACCGAGAAGGTCCAAAGTTGCGGGGTTTGGAATAGAGAGGCCAAATGCGTTGACGATCAGCGACGCGGCTGAACACGGTTAGGGACGATGATCAGAATCTGTACTTTCCTGGAGGAATCCGATGAGCTAGGAAGCTCTTTTTCACAGATGTCCAACAGGGAGAGGTTCCACGGTGTAGAACTGGGAGGAATAATCAAGGCATGTCTGCTGTTTTGTCACCGTTAGCTGGGATCTATCCGCAAGTATCAATGAGGCTACACAACTTACAAAGTGTTTATCCGGATGGTGTAGGCACAGAGTAAGCAACTCTGTGGAGCTCTTCACGAGCAGAGGTTTCAATCGACGTTAATCGTTGCACGCGCAAATTGTTTCTCCAGAAAATGCAATCCGCCACACGTATGTGATGACAATGAAAATTGGTTAAGCGTAAGCAGTATTTTTCAAACACGCAACATAACAAAAAATGGCCATTTACCGCTCACAAATAAAACGTAACAGTCCCGAGACCCAAACCCTGGATTCATACCCCGTCCGTCTAGCGCCGATTTAACCGAGCTTGTGAAACTCGCGGTAAACAGGGCCTCCAAAAAGGTGCCAACAACGTTAGAAGTTGAAAACTGCCACCTGCCTGGCCTCAAAAGCGTCACTTTAGAACTCGCGGGCAGGATATGACGTAAACACCTTCAAGTAGATTTGTTCCTGAGGTTTGTTCAGTCACGTGCCCGTCTGTGTAAAGAGTGCACCTTTCTCACCGCCAGTTTAAATGATAACCTGCCAAGTGTCAATAACGGTGGAAACGTCCTGCATAAGAACCTGCTTGGTATACGGACTGACCAAAGGTCAGACTACCTTGCGACATGTAAAGTGATCCACGTGCAGCGATGGGTACAATAAAACCCCCACCACCCCCTGCCACCGCACCAGATGCAAATAATTTTTTCGCCAATTCAGATTCACGATTCTTTTTTAACATTGTTGTGAATGTAGCGGCCTCGAGTGGTGGGACCCTACGGCGAACAACGGACACACGAGTCTTAAGACGCAGAGAACGTTACGTGCACGGTTCACATCGCTAAGGGGAGGACGCGCCGCTAACACCACCCGCTGTTCGCGAGCCACCAAGCGGCGTCGGACGCGCACTCGTGGAAGCAGACTGGACTCTCTTCAATTTGCAAGACCTCCAGCAACACGACTTGGTTATGCGTCCTCCGAGGTATACGCCAGAAAGAAATAATGGAATTTTTTTCAGAGTATATTGAAAATTCAATGATTGTTATTCTTAAGTGGTTACTCAAGGTACTTTAGCTTTCGTTGAATTTTCCAGTTAAGTGTAAACCTAATAATGTTCAAGACATTCCAAAGAGGAAAGTTGAAAGGCGAGGTACAATTGTACGATCTACCCTGTACAGTACAGTACTGACAAGCTATGGGAGGGCAAAATTGCATCTCCTCCTCCGCGTCTCCTTTTAACGCCCCGTCAACCGCCAAATTCATCCGAACCTGTCAGCAATTAATAACCTCGTTTTTATGCGCTCCAATCCTCATGGCAGAGGCTTTTCAAAGAACAGACAGGACACAGGCTCACACACACACTTTAAGATTCACTGCCAACGATGACCACAATACCCTGCTGGGATAAAACAACCCAAAAACGGCAACTTGAACCCCGCACACAACAGAGCAGCCAGTTTTCTTTTCTTTTGCTCAAATGACACGAGCGTTTTCCACGCGGCCACGAGGAAGTTTTACGATGCACACTGAAAAACGTACGCACGTATTTGTTCAAATCACGCTTGGAACTAAAAACTACAGAAGCGCTCAATTTTAACGACCGTATTCACCGGCTCGTCTGTCAAGAACTGAAACTGAGACGGCGAGGCAAGGTGGTAACCTCCGGAATTCCACTGAAAAACAAACACCCGGAGCATATCTGCATGACCAATTCCGCTTGTCCAGGTGGCTCTAAGCCATTTGTTCCAAACTGCTGCGGCTGGCCCGACGTGTTGCCCGCATCGGTCGATTTGGCGAGGGTCGTGGCACCGTCGCAGGGAGTCACATTTATACTTGGGCAGCGTTGCATTGTGAATGGAGGCTCAAGTCCACGGGATGTCAAACTCAATCAGACAGCGGGCCGGTTTTGGACTCAAATGCTTTTCCCGCCGGCCACACAGTTGGGCCTATGAAAATCAAAAGCATAATAAACACCACGGTATAAATTTAGCAATTAAAAATCGAAAAGCACGGCTAAAGAGAGTTTTTTTTTTTTTTTCACGGCATGACACGTGCCAAATCTCCCGTTTTCAATGTCCGGTTTAAATTCAGTTTGAATTTAGGTAAGAGCTTTGAAAAATATAACTAAAATTACATAAGTTATAACAAACGAAAACACGTGGTGGGCCGGAGGAAGCGAATTGTGGTGCTGTGTGTTTGACACCCCTGGTCTAAGCCATTCTCAATGCGAACGTGGGATCGCCGTAGGATTCCAAAAATCCGCTTGATCCACAGTGCTACACCCCAACCGTGTAGTTGCCGAGATGTCTACCTGGCAACCACTGCAGAAGAACCTTCAATAGTTGCTTGGATATTTCAGATGTGTGTTTCTGGAGGCCGACGTTGCAAAACTACGTGTGAAACGGACCGATGCGTTTCTATACATATTAATTGTATTTTAAACGTTAGCAAAGTAATTATTCATATTTCACACATTAATAACAAACAAATAAAATATATATATATAACACTTTTAACCACAATTACGATAGCGAAAGGCAAGGCTTAACAGTAAATGCGGTGCGATTAATACATCGCGCCAAACTGCCCTCACGTCTACAAGTCACGTTTGCATTATTAATGAGCTTCGGAGAGCTAATTCTCAAACAGCAAAAACAGTAACACCCAAGTGCAGCCTACGCTATGGTTCGCCGTGCAGCCATACTTCCCCCCCACCACCCCCCCCCCTTCCTCTTTGCCTTCATCGTTCTCGAATGAGAAAATCAACTGGCAACCTTCCACCCTCCACCCCGTCCATCACCAAGAACAACGTCCCGCATTCACTCCGCGCTCGCTCTCGGCGGCCGACTTTGCTTTGTGCACGCGAGGGCTGACCGCCGTCCCCGTGCTTCCTACGATTGTGGCGACACTAATGAATCTCGGCGCACGCACGGACGCGAAACAACATTCCCCCAATGCAACGGACCCAAACACCCACGAGGTCACCGAGCATGGTAATATTAACAATGCCATTTAAGTAGACGGGAAAGAATGCGTCCCAAGACTGTTGAAGGCAGTTCCTGCACTAGGATGTTTTGCCAAGTCCATGAGCGGCACGTCGAAGGAAATCATAACCACCGGAGATAAACCCACACAACGCATGAAGGATCGCATTCAATGCTCTGTACAGATGGATTCAATCCATTTGCTGTACTGCCTGGTCACCTCAGAGCCCAGCAGGTTTGGAGTTTCACAAATGTGTGGTCCACCAACCCAGTTTTGCACAAACCACCGCACCTCGCTTCGTGTGGCACCCGACACAACGGAGTAATACAAGAACACAACCCCACGGTGACAGATGGATTACCTCATTGTGTTTTAGAGCTCCCAACACATACACTATTGTTAGTTTATGGGCACTTAATGACGAGGCTTTGCTCTGCACAACACAAACTTCTATAGGTGGGTTTGGCCTTCATCAGATCTGCTGCCAAACAAAAACGGGACAGGTTTCCACTGGACGGGATTGCTACCTGACATACAAATGTAAAACGTACGGACACTGGTCTGAAGACTCTTCTACACTAATTAATTTGTAAACAGAGTACTAACCATCGTGTACTAGGATGCCCCGCATGAGCCCAACGCCATCAAATTGAAAATACCAGCTGAGAGCACGGAACACAGCATACCTGGGGATGACAGAATATCAAACCGCATCTCTTGACCCGTTATCTGGTCAGAGGCTGGCTAGTTGAGAGTTGGTTCAGCAAGTTCAAAAAGCGCAGGGAGAGATACGCTCCAAATGTGCTCCCCTGAAACGTGACGACTTATCTACAGCTCCCGGTGCTGTTCCACGACCCCGTTTGTGATATGACGTCCCATTCCGGCTTCATTTTCAAACGCTGGTCTGACAATGAACACATCTTTTGACAAAGACCTTTCACGGACAGTACACAGCGCCGGCATCAAATGGCTCCTACAGCACTTATGAGTTATGCGGTAGCCAACTTTAAACTGCTGTGTGTTGCCATAAAAGGCCACCAAATTCCAACTGATGGAGGGATGGTCGAGGCATCTGGAATGGTGGTCTGTGTCATGCAATGCCTTGCTTGTTGGAAGGCAGGAGAGTTATGATGTTTATGATTCTACCTCGGGGGCTGCAACTGCCTCTAACGCAGTGGTACAATGTTTCACGTAAAGTTGTAAAGGGGTGGGCTGTGTTGTGGCGCCAATGAATTAGTGCTCAATGGGTGACAGGCGTTTACATCTTCGTCATTACTTTAACCTGTTGGCAGATCTATTGCTTAATACAGAGCATCTACAATGTGAAACGAACCTTGGCAAATATCGGTTGGAGCTACAGTAAATCCTACCACACAAAACATGACTACAAGCTGTAGAGTAACGTGAAGATACACTGGAAAATGACCGTCTATTACGAGAGTAAATGTGTCCAGTGCCCCCATAAAAATACAATCAACCCCAATTTGGCTAACGTGTGGCGAGAGAGCGGTGGCAATTTGGCAGTTCGTTAAATGCAAACCATTTGTACGAAGCCACTGTTCATCAATAAAGATTACCGCCTGGTGACATCCAACCACGGCAGGTTGTATTTAAAACGCACTGTAGCTTTCACAGCACGATGAGCATATTTTGGGAGCAAGGTTAACCACGCCCATCGGGCAACCAACTCTATTGAGAAAATATTCAAGTTACCACTTGTGTTGGGTAATAAAACGTGTATCTATGTTTAACTTCTTCCACACTATATGTAGCCAACCGTGCTAAATTGAGGTGTGGGGGAAGGACAACAAACTAAACACAAAAAGTTCAAGAAATTAGATTCAGATTTACAAGTGCATAGCTCCAGTGGCTTCCTAATATCGGAAGGGCGTTCCAGATGGCCGCAGAAGCGCATCTGCAGTGAAGCAAACGGCGAGAATATTTTTGTAACTGCCCAGCCTGGTGCTCCCGTGTCCCAGTTGGCTTACGGACCTGTCGCCGATTGCACCGCATCAAAATAGTAAAATGAACACGCGATTATGCCCAGGAGTTGGAACGGTGTGAGAACAGGGCCTTAGGGCACATCGTTAATGCAAATGGTGCGGGTCTTCTACGTTTTTGGAGGAGCGGGTTCTGAAAAGTATAAATTGGGTTAGAAATTAAATGCTATTTTGCGCTAGTGAAGAGGAGCTGTTTTTTTTTTTACTCGTAGGGAAAGCTGGGGTTGTGGCATTGGTGTGGCACGAGAAAGTTTGGAGCATACTCTTGACCTCTTCAGTGAAGAATAAAGCTGATGGTGCTGCGGATGCCGACACGCAAGCAGCACATGGGAATTACAAGAGGCACCAAACTATACTTAGGTGCCTGGCTCAGTGTGTAATACTGTCATCTATGGCACATGACATGGAATTTAGTGCTTATCCAACAAGGGGCGCGAGGTCTGCCAATACAGCCATAGGGAATAAACTCACCCATGTTAAATCCCCAACACTTTAAAGGATGTATGCGCACACACCCCACAGACGGGGGAACGCACATTCTGATCCACGATTGAAATAAAGTGTCTCCGCTGACAGATCTAAACTAAAGATTCTTATCCGTACATCTCCTCTGCCAGAAGAGTAAAAAACGATGTATCGCAAGCCTGTTGGCGAGATATGTATATGGTGATCTCAAAATAATGAGAATGTACATGGCAACCGTTAATACAATCCATGTACGGAGTTACCGCCATGGCACAACTATATGGCAAATTCACATATTGGTAATGGCTGAAACACACAACACCACCGCAGACCAATGGAAACATCGGCAGGTTTTGTTTTGCCAGACATCAAATGATGCGTGAATCGTTGTTAAGAAAACTGTGTTATTGGGCTCAAAACGTGGCATAGCTTCAGATGGGCAAAGCAAAACCTAGTTGGCTGTCGATTGTGTAACATCAGCGCGAAGGCTACATCGGTGGATGCAGCCTCAAAATTCTGATACGAATCACACGAGACTACCCAGCAGAGTTGCTGCCGACTTTATTGATTTCCAAATTGAACAGGGCCCTAGTGGCCCCGAAGAAGCAAGAACTAATGCAATGTAGCAATGTATCTGTTGGCATAGATTTTAAAGTGAAACATTCCGACAGCTACTTCAATATTGTTCAGCTGCCGCCGTTGGAATCTCCATGTTAACACTGCGACTGATACTTGTCCTTCTGGAGCATCACAAAATGAGACTGAGCACACGTAACATAAATAGAATCAACTAAATTGATTCGCCGGTGAAAATCTACCGAGGTGCAAAGTGATCGGTAAAATAAAGTACTATCACTGTGGAGCTCGCTACCGTACACTCGGCATCACGTTCTATGTAATATGGATGACGCACGTAAGAATACAAAGGAATTCATTCGAGCACCTCTTTGGTTAGCGAAATACTCGGGCCCAGCTCTTCCCGAGTGCCCCGTGCCAGGCGCGGTCGACACGAGAGCCGCGCGCGCGGGTCGGAGCGGGCGGCTCGCGCGAGAAACAATCGCCGCACGTGACGCGGGCGCAGCGGGAAACAAGAGGCTCGCAACATTTTGCTAACAAAGCAGAATCTAACTCATCCCCCATTGGTTGTGGCATGCGGTAGCTTTTTTTGTTTTCTTCGAGAGATCTTCGCTCCCTTTCAGGCTGTGCCATACACCTCTCTCTCCCCGCGCCGCCGCCGCCACCTTCGCCTCCTAGTTTCCTTCTCCAGCCTCGTCGTCCTGCTGGTCGGAGGTCCACAGTGTGAGGTTGTCTCGGAGGAGCTGCATGATTAGCGTCGAGTCTTTGTACGAGTCCTCGTTCAGGGAGTCCAACTCGGCGATGGCCTCGTCGAAGGCCGTCTTGGCCAACTGGCACGCCTGCTCGGGCGCGTTCTGGATCTCGTAGTAGAAGACGGAGAAGTTGAGCGCGAGGCCCAGGCGGATGGGGTGCGTGGGCATCATCTGCTCCTTGCTCACCTCGTACGCCTCCTTGTACGCCTTCTCCGAGTTGGACACGACGTGGTCGCGCTTCTCCCCGGTGGCCACCTCGGCGAGGTAGCGGAAGTAGTCGCCCTTCATCTTGAGGTAGAACACCTTGCTCTCGTACTGCGGGTGGTCGCAGCGCGGGATGAGGTGGTTGTCGAGCAGGTTGAGCACGTCTCCGCACACCGCCTCGAGCTCCTGCTCGATCTTCTCGCGGTAGCTGCGCACCAGCCCCAGGCGCTTCTCGTTGCCGTCCGTCGCCGTCTTCTGCTCGATGCTGCTGATGACGCGCCAGGCCGAGCGGCGCGCCCCCACCACGTTCTTGTAGGCCACCGACAGCAGGTTGCGCTCCTCGTTGGACAGCGGCTCTGTCAGCTCGGTCACCTGGCGACGACGACACAGCCGGTGGGGGGGGGGGGGGGCAACGCACGATCATTACCCACGATACAGTTTTCTAGGCTCGCCCGGGTCAAGGGTCAAGGTTCAAGGCAGTGTTTTACGATCGAGTGAGCGTTGTGATAACGACTAGTGCCGTTTGCCTTGCGAAAGTGGTGACATTCCTCGTTACTTTGGCGAGTCATTATGCCCATAAGACAACCGCTTATGATATAATCATGCATCATCGTCGTCGTCATCATCAGCCATGATCAATCCACTGCTGGGTGAAGGTCTCCGCAAGTCGGAGCCACCATTCACAATCCTGCGATGCAACAACCAATCCAGCACCTACACAGGAACTCATCTAATGACTCCATCTCCCCGGTAGACGTCCTCTCAGATGCGTTCGCCGAATTTCTGACATTTTACTACGACTTTAAAAAGTTCGTGGTCTACAACCCAACTCATTTTTGGTATATAGCCAAAGCCAATGGTGGAAATTCCACATCCCTATGGTGAGATAATATATCCACAGGTCAACCACTGTTGAGTTACCAATAACTGACATGGACTGGGATTTGAATTTTCAAAAACAAAAATGGTTTAGTGATAGTATATTTATTTTTTGTGATTTTCTTACCTTTCCTATACTTTGTACTCCTATCGGTTTTTTTATTCTTTGTAATTGTAACTTTCTGATCTTCCCCTACTGGACATCTTTGAAAAATAGCTTCATAGCTCATCGGATTTCCCCAGAAAATGTTCATTCCGTACTGCTTGATTCACTATTAATAACAATTTAACTAACTCCACGGGAGGGGGGGGAGGTCTTATACCAAAGATATTCCATGTTGAAACGAGCTAACAGTGGATGCATGCATCTGCATAAGAGCACTTGAAAAATATTCGACGGTGGAAAGGATCAAAATGAAACCTTATATTATTCATTCAGACGATAAAATGGCAACAATTTAACGTGGATGTAATCGATGCGTCTCCCAGGCCAGAACAACACTGGCCTGACGTCTCCACTGGTGAGACCCCAACCAGCGGGTACATTCCACAGCCCCATGATAGGGGCCAGGCTATTCATAGACCAGCCACTGGTGAATTCCCTCAAAGCGTTACTAATTTAACAACGCCAGAGGGATGATGGGCCGAGTCAACGCCTTAGTAAGTCACTTTTTAGTTGAGTGAGACCACCGATCAGGATTTCAATGAGCAGTCAATGTTAAGCTTTTTTCCACATCAGTGTTCTACGACGTTGTGCATAAGTCCACTGTGGTTATCACAAGGATTGATAAAAACCTGAATACACAATACTTGTTTAATGAATCATACGGATAACCGCTAACAATGCTCTACTCAATGGCAGGCGTACGCGCATTTTTAAATGACAGTACAACGAAAATTACGTATAAGTTATTGAGGACGGCCTCAGTCTCAGGATGGTGCCACATTGGGGAGTTGCACTCATTCTCTTTTTTGCAAGAGGGTGATTTCGATGCGACATTATTCCAGGGTAATAGGAGAAAACTCGCAAACTGCGGATATCACGGAAGTCTGCGTGGGAGTGGCAAATCCATTCGCCATATGGCCATTGCTTGGCCACATTTACAACTCAATGAATGTGGCGCCGGCCACAGTGGCTAGGAGATGTTAACTCCCTCGCCTGGTAAGGAGGAGGTCGTGGGTTCAATCCCGACCCTGACGCCTGCTGCTGTATATTATTTGGAGTTTGCATGTTCTCTCTCCCCGTGGTTTGCGTGCATTTTTCTCCGGGTCCTCCGGTTTTTCCTTCAACATTTATAAACATGCGTTTAAGAGTATATGGCTGCAATAAATTGCCACGTGATTAGCCACTTTGTTGAGCTATCATTTGTAGCCAGGTCGCTTCTGAAAAAGAGTGGGCCTTACCGGGTAAAATAAACCATAGTTTAATTTTCAATGGGTTGAAAGTCCAAATGAAAATGCTAACCGCTGCGTGAACCATGAACCCCCATCGGCAGAGCACAAAATGAGAGGCGTGAACGAGCGTGACTGGGTTATATTTATAGCCAGAATAAAAAAAGACAAAGAGGGTGTCAATGCTCAAAGGATCATTATTAGGGTGATGATAATCTATAATGGCAGCCCTGCATCAATGGAAGAGACTGATTCCACATTGCCATTGTGTGAGCCTCAAGTTGATTTTGTTGAGTGCAGACACTACAAGTTAGAAACTGTCCAAATGATCCCTGAAAGGACTCAATCCAGAATGATACATAGTGCACACTAAGGATGGGCTTTGGATTTTAAAAAAAGCAACTCACATTTTGGATTTTAAGAAAAATGACGGAACATTTTTTGGAAGATTTACATTGCGTAAAAATTCAACATGTTTTTCTGCTAGCAAACCTAACATCACCCTATGCCACGACACCATTCTTGACGCAAAAGCGTGGACATGACGACGCGTTAGTGGCGTAACTTTGTGACGTCATGTTTCCAGATCAACCCAAATAAAAAAAAATCTGAAATGTTTAACCTTGGCCTGGGGTTTGGGATTTTTCATATAAAAACAATTGGGAACACATCCCTAGTACACACATAGTTCCATGAATGTATAATAACCCAACAAATAGTTTTTACTTCAATGGCTAAAATTGAAACGCTAAAAATAATGCATGCTAATTATATTCAACATGATATTCATGAGCAGCAGAGGCTCAAGCATCAATGAGTTGACAGGAACTGCAGTCAGCCCCCCAAACCCCTCCAGCTCAGCAGCCCCCCCCCCCCCTACTGCTTACACCACTCCCTACTGCTTACACCACTCCCTACTGCTTACACCACTCCCTACTGCTTACACCACCCTCCACTGCTTCCACGGGCAGGAACAACACCACCCCAACCTCTTTGCATCCAGACACATTACACGGACTCACTTGTAACCAAGTCCTGTTATCCCAGCAAAGGCGAGCAAGGCTGATAACATTAAGTCGTTTTTATTCACCTCCTCAGTTATAAAGAAAATTGATTTACTGTGTACATAGCCGAGCCCAAGGGGTCCGTTCAGACGGATGTGGGCCGGCACTCATCTTCCTTAGCCAACCTGTGCCAGTGAAGGGAATTCTCCATTCCTATGACAGGGGCCAGTCCTTCCAGAAGACAACGGTTGGGCCGTTACAAAATGGTGCTCGTTTGTTCCACTCGATGCGAATGAGGCGAGTCATCTCCCAACACCTCCAATTAACACGGCTGGCTACGTACGGTGCAAAATAAGTTCAACATACAGACAACGAGGAGTTTAAACTCACGAACTTAACAATTCCACATTCACAAGCATTTTCTGAAAAACATCCAAGTCATAAAAGTGTGAAAAAATTATTTAAAAAATGCACAGAACAGTCATCAACTCTTACAATCACATCACCCTTCCTTTCGGTGTACAGGAACCCCTTGACCCCGACATCTGAGTCGCGATTGTCACCTCAAACATTATTCTGGGCACCGTGGAAGAACTCGGTCCATCCTCCTGCGTCGCTGTTTAATCACCGGGATGCCATCAGAGCGTATTACAGCATTGTGCGCTTTTTATGGGTGCACAAATTACATAACAGCCTTTTTAAAGACACCTTTCCGAAAACAGACCTCCTTCCATAATGTGATATTAATGAGGTCATGATTCGATTTTTTTGTCCTTTTGGTGCATGCAGTCTAAGTGACAGCAAGGTTTTCATGAATTTCAAATTATACGATTTGTCAATAATTCATATGTGCACCGCCCATTTGATGCATATATTGTGAGCTCTTGAATACATTTTCATTGACAAATCTTTGCGTGCAGATTTTTTCCACCAGTAACCTTTAGACGGGCGGAGTGGCAGCGCAGTGCGCAGCGCAAACCTGACGCGCAATCGGTGCTTAGCGCAATGCGCTAGGAACCTGGCAACCCCGAGTTCGATTCCCGGCCGCAGCCGACATCGGCGGTGCGTAATATCTGGAACCCCCACGGTTTCCCTCTGCGAACTCCGCACTGACCAGCGCGGTGAAGTATGATCTAACAACTCCCACAGACCCAACGAGGCCCACAGAAGGCTTCATCCAGCACAAAGGAACTATATATTATTAGCGGTTTAAATATCGGCATCCACTTAATTGCTTGATAGTCGTCTTATTATGCACGTATGTGCAAGTCATTGCACGAACACGCCAAGATGGCAGTGGCCGTGCACTCTGTGGAGCAGTGGTGGATTAATTCTCCACACAGCCACTGCGGATTACCACCAGCAATCTTTCCGAAGGGTGGTGACCGTCAACGTTCACACAAAGCGGTACCCATTTTTAACAAAACCTGACGCGCGATTGGTTAAGTTGACCTCCGATTTGTGCTCCGATGACGGTGCCAACCACCCGGCCTGCCTGTCATGTAAGATGGAACCCCTCGTGAAGAGAGAGTGAGCCCAGTATTTGGTCGTGGTACCGTGGGTTATATTTATTCATGATGGGTCTATGTTTAACCGCAGTGCCCCGATTTCCACATCCATCTTGAGAAGGCTGCACACACGCATGTTTTTTTGCACAGCCGTATATATTCCCCTAAATACATAGCTTTACAATGGGATGTTAATAACACTAAATAATCTGCTTTTGCTCATCAGCTAACAGAAAACTGTTCAAATATCAAGTGTCCAAATTTTGAAGAATTCAAAGGCACGTCATTGAAAAACACCATCTCGAGACGATATTTAATTTACCAGATATTCATTATTGAGCCAAAACGTATTTTTGTCAGGAAGGTCCTGGGAATGTGGCCAATTCCCAATGAGTGTATTTGGGACCAAACCGGAGTTCCCAGAGAAGACTTGCACACGAGGGGACAACACTCCCATAGCCCACACACAGATGAGTTTTAGTAACCTACAATGCTAGCCCTCCTCGTAAACCTCATAAGCCCAGCAGGTGTGGGAAGGGTCACAAAAACATGCTCCGCAAACCTTTGCACTCTGATTTACAGGCGTGCGGCACCACGCCCAACGCAATTAACCCGACTGCCCTCTCCCTTGTAAAGAAGAAGATGCCCGGGCTCATGGACATTACCCTCACGGGGCCCCCATGACATCCACCCACCATGGTGTCACACAGGACCACCTTCCCTTGGAACACCAGGCCTCCAGTACCTGTCAGACTACATCCACCCTTCTCGAGTCCACGATGATCATCCAGTCCCTCTCCTCCTCCCTGGTTTCCCACCTCTCTGCCAGACACGTGTGTGAAAAAGAGCTTCATAGCTCAACGGATTTCTCCAGGACAAATAAAGATTTTGAGGTTTCTCAGGCCCCCAGTCCCCTCTACAGTCCTCGGGGTTACCCCAGGGATTGCAGTCCTCATTCAGTGCCAGGGACCCCTCTCGCCTGACCCCCCCCCACGCCTCCAAATCTTGCATTGGTCATCGTCCCCCACCGCTCCATCTCCTCTGTTGCGCCCATTGCACTTCCTGGCTCCCCACCCCCCAATTGCTACCACTGTCCCACCGTTCTTCCGCCTTGCTCCACTCACCCACTCACCCACCTGCCCCCCCTTCTTACCGAGTCCCACCAACCCCCATAGTCTCTCCCCTAAACCCCACGGCTCCTCTCGCCTTACCCCTCTCATCTGTTAAACCTCCCCTCGTCCTTCACTCGATCCCCTCGCAAACCCCTTGGACTGTACCTCGCTTCAATCGCCATCCCCATCAATTTGTCTTCACCTCGTCTCCCCCATGGACCCCCCCCCCTCACCCCCTCCACGTCACCCTCCACCGTCTTTCGTCCTACCCCCAAAATCTCATTCGATCCCCTCGATCCCCTTTCACTCTCTCATCGATCCTCGATTTACCCCCCTGCTGCTCCTATCCCCCGAATCCTTCATAAACTCGTCGCTTACAGTCCCTGGCTCGACCTTTGCTGCACTCAGCCCCCTGCTCCCCCCCTCTCTCATCCTCTGTCATTGACCCCCTCGTCCCTCCCTCACCCCCTCTCCTTGACCCCCTCGTCCCTCCCTCACCCCCTTCCTTGATCCCCTCGTCCCTCCCTCATCCCCTCTCCTTGATCCCCTCATCCCTCCCTCACCCCCGTCCTTGATCCCCTCGTCCCTCCCTCATCCCCTCTCCTTGACTCCCTCGTCCCTCCCTCACCCCTTCCTTGACCCCCTCGTCCCTCCCTCGCCCCTTCCTTGACCCCTTGTCCCTCCCTCATCCCCTCTCCCTGACCCCCCTTCGTCCCTCCCTCACCCCCTTCCTTGACCCCCTCGTCCCTCCCCTACCCCTCCTTGATCCCCTCACCCCCCTCGTCCCTCACCTCATCCCCTCTCCCTTGATCCCCTCGTCCCTCCCTCATCCCTCTCCTGACCCCCTCGTCCCTCCCTCACCCCCTTCCTTGGACCCCCTCGTCCCTCCCTCACCCCTTCCTTGACCCCCTCGTCACTCCCTCACCCCCTTCCTTGACCCCCTGTTCCCTCTCCTCATCCCCTGACCTTGATCCCCTCGTCCCTCCCTCACCCACTTCCTTATCCCCTTGTCCTTCCCTCACCCCCTCTCCTTGATCCCCTCGTCCCTCCCTCATCACCTCTCTTGATCCCCTCGTCCCTCCCTCATCCCCTCTCCTTGACCCCTTGTTCCCTCCTCATCCCCTGACCTGACCCCTCGTCCCTCCCTCACCCCCTTCCTTGACCCCCTTGTCCCTCCCTCATCCCCTCTCCTTGACTCCCTCGTCCCTCCCTCACCCCCTTCCTTGACCCCCTCGTCCCTCCCTCATCCCCTCTCCTTGACCCCCTCGTCCCTCCCTCACCCCCCTTCCTTGACCCCCTCGTCCCTCCCTCATCCCCTCTCCTTGACTCCCTCGTCCCTCCCTCATCCCCTCTCCTTGATCCCCTCGTCCCTCCCTCATCCCCTCTCCTTGATCCCCTCGTCCCTCCCTCACCCCCTTCCTTGACCCCCTTGTTCCTCCCTCATCCCCTGACCTTGACCCCCTCGTCCCTCCCTCATCCCCTCTCCTTGATCCCCTCGTCCCTCCCTCATCCCCTCTCCTTGATCCCCTCGTCCCTCCCTCACCCCCTTCCTTGACCCCCTTGTTCCTCCCTCATCCCCTCTCCTTGACCCCCTCGTCCCTCCCTCACCCACTTCCTTGACCCCCTTGTCCCTCCCTCATCTCCTGATCCCCTCGATACCCTCCCCCCACGCCCCATCCCCCTCAGACCCGCATCGTCCCCGCCTCTCCCTTCGCACCTCTTCACCCCCTCGTCTCTCCTTCAATGGGTCCCCTTCATGCCCCCCACCCCCCATGTCCAATCGATTCCACATCGCACCCCCTCGATCTCCTCCCTCAGTCTCACCCCCTCACAACCCCCTCGATCTCCTCCCAGAATCCATTCATTCACTGCCCATTGGATCCCCCGATTCTGCCGCGATCCCCTCACGATCCCCTTCACCGTTGCACCTTCACCACGACCCCCTCGCCAGACCCTCGTCTCCCTCTCCACGCGTCCCCCGTGATCCCCTCACACCCTCTGACCCCCTTCCCCAGATGCCTCCCTGCTCCCCCTCGCAGTCACTTTCCCCTCGACCCCCTCGACCCCCTTCACCCTCCACTCGTCCTCAGCCTCCCGCCACCACCCCCCACCCCGTCTCCCCTCGCCTCTCTCGCTCCCTCCTCATCCCCTCGATACCCCCCGGCCAGGACTCCCGTTCCTGCCCCCCAAGAACCCCCCTCACCCCCTCTCTTGTTCATACCCCTCGATCCCTCCTCCCCAGAACCCCCCTCATCCTCTCTCTCCCCTCTCCCGTTCATCCCCTCGATCACTCCCCTCCACGACCTCAACCCCGTCCGCCCGTCTCGCTCGCCTCCCGATATCATCCCCTCACCCCTCGCTCGCACCGCCCGAACCCCCTTCCCGACCCCCTCATCCCCTCTCCCCTCATCCCCTCATCATCTCTCTCTCTCCCCTCATCTCTCTCACCCCTCATCATCTCTCTCTCCCCCTCATCCCCTCATCATCTCTCTCTCCCCTCATCACCTCTCCCCTCATCATCTCTCTCACCCCTCATCATCTCTCTCTCCCCTCATCACCTCTCCCCTCATCATCTCTCCTCTCATCCTCATCATCTCTCTCTCCCCTCATCCCTCTCCCCTCATCATCTCTCTCTCTCCCCTCATCCCCTCTCCCCTCATCATCTCTCTCTCTCCCCTCATCCCCTCTCCCCCCCGCCCGTGGGGTCTCACCGCCTTCATGGCGGCCGCCATGTCGTCGTAGCGCTCCGCCTGCTCGGCCAGGCGCGCCCTCTGCACCAGCTGCTCGCGCTCCGCCATCTCAGCCGCGCACGCGCTTCAACGCCGCTGCTGCTGCTGCTGCCGCTGCTGCTGCTGCTCCTGCTGCTGCTGATGCACTGGCTCAGCTGCTGCCTGCTGCTGCTGGTGTTGAGGCTGTGGAGCTTCGTGCTGCTGCGGCTGCTGCTGCGTCGTCTTCGTCGTCTCCGCTGCTGCTGCGGCTACGAGCGCCGCCGCGGTCACGTCTCTCGCCTTGCCGCACTGCGCATGCGCGAAGCCCCCCCCCCCCTTGCCCCGCCCCCCACGTCCCCCCACGCCCCCCGCCCCGCGCGTCGCGGAAGCTTCGAGAGAGGAGGCGGAGGGAGGGAGGAGGAGACGAGGAGTGGCTCTCTCTCTCTCTGGCTGTGTTTGTGTGTCGACAGTGCGGCATTCACTGCTGCGGGAGATTCTAGCATCACGGACGTCCTCTGCACGTAACCGTCCGTCCCTCCAGCCAGCGAAACTCGTTTGGGACATTGCACGAAGTGAGGCGAGGCGCGGAGGCGGCGGCCTATCCCGAGGCGTTTGCACGGAGATACACGTGGAGGGGGTGGGGTGACGTCATCACGCACTAACCTGGGTGACGTCATCGCGCACTAACCTGGGTGACGTCATCGCGCACTAACCTGGGTGACGTCATCGCGCAGACATGCGCCAGGCAGGCAGACATCCATTCCAGACAGGACAGGCATCCAGCCATGCAGGCAGACAGACATCCAGGCAGACATGCAGGCAGACATCCAGGCAGACATGCAGGCAGACATCCAGACAGACAGGCAGACAGTCAGACAGACAGGCAGGCAGACATCCATTCCAGACAGACAGGCATCCAGCCATGCAGGCAGACAGACATCCAGGCAGACATGCAGGCAGACATCCAGGCAGACATGCAGGCAGACATCCAGGCAGACATGCAGGCAGACATACAAACAGGCAGACATCCAGACAGACAGACATCCAGGCAGACATACAGACAGGCAGAGAGACATCTAGGCAGGCAGGCAGGTATACCTGTCCATGATAATTCGATGTTATTTAACCCCACAGTACCGTGTTCCTAAAATCCTATGAGCAGTTTTATAAGCATCGTGCCAAACCAATTCACAGAAACAGCGTTTTGGATTGACCCACCACATCGCGAGTTTAAAGACGTTGTTTTTATTTCACCAGGTAAGGCCCCAGTGAGCTGTGTAGCTCTTTCCCAGAAGCCACCTGGCCACCACAACGAAGTGGCGGCTTTTCACGGGTGGTGGGTGGGTGGGGGGTAGGTGGGTGGATGGTGAGTGGTGGGTGGGTGGTGGGTGGATGGTGAGTGGTGGGTAGGTGGTGGGTAGGTGGGTGGGTGGTGGGTGGATGGTGAGTGGTGCGTAGGTGGTGGTGGGTGGTGGTGGGTAGGTGGGTGGTGGGTGGTTTATTCAGAAATGTATCTGTGCCAGATAGGCAGTGCTCACTGTGAAATGAATATATCAGATATATCAGAATCCACACATTGCGAGTGGAGGAGGAATCCGATGAGCTATGAAGCTCTTTGATCACATATGTCCAGAAGGGGCACGGGGTAAGAACGTCACAACAACAAACAGTACAACAAACACCATAGGAGTGCAAAGAACAAAAAGGGTAAAATAACACAAACACAAACAAATACAGCACTAAAGCATCCCCATCCTACCAAACAAAGCCCACTGAGATATTAACTTAGTTTTCAAAAACGACCTGGCTATCACAAGTGATGGCTCAACAAAGTGGCTCTCATCATTTGGACATCCATGGCAAGTGAGAAAATGCCTGAGGGTCGTGGGGGTAAAAGTTTGAATCAACAACAACAAAAATCCCCATCACTTTTTACTTGTTGATATTTTTTCCCCCTACCGCTCTCCGACGACAAATCGAGTGTTGGCGCGGCGTGGACTCACCTCCGCCCCCCCCCCCCGGCTCCTCGCTCCTGCCGCGTCCGCCTTGGCCCCGAGCCGCCACGTGCGCGGAGAGTCGTGGACACGAAACACAAATCGCTCCGTGCCCCATAACCCAGTGGGGGCAGAGTTGCCGGCTCGCACTCGACAGCTTTCATATTCTTAGGTTTTTTCGGTAAAGTCACATAGGTAAAAAATTACAATTAAAATTAATAAATATAAAATAAAAAATAAAAATCACGACGTTTCGGAGGCAACACAAGCTTCCGTCTTCAGGTGGAGCGCAAATCTGGGAACGGGTTAAACCAAAAAAGGAAGATGTTCAACCTCGTGGAAAAAAAACCGGTGCCAATTACGAAGTTTAACCCACCTAAACCTGTCTCCCCGATTATAAAATGAATACAAAAAATGTGTGCTTAGTCCATCAGCCTGTTGGCTTTCCAATGTCACTTGTCTTGAGCAAGCAAACTCCCGGCTGGTTTTGAACGTATGGGGCTCATCAGCTCCGGATGTTTATTTAATAATTGCTAAGCACAATAATTATTCACATTCGTAAGGCGCATTTCACCCAAGGATGCCAATGCCCCACCGTGTATGGAAAGTGGGGAAATAAGACAGAGCTAGCGGCGTAGAGGACCACAACTATGGGGGGAAGGCCATTTTAAAGTGGTGAGTTTTCAGGGCAACATTTAAATAGCTCAAAATATTATGTTTGTCTTATTATCTAGAGGCCAGCAGCGTTCCATAGCCTTGGAGCTGCACTGGCAAAAGCCCCATCACCCCCAGGATCGGAGCCTTGACCTCGGAATATGAAGGAGGAGTTTGACAGCACCAGCAACGGCACCATCATGTCACCTTGTTGCCAGTTACAAAGCAGGAAGAGATAGATGGCTGCCTCTGGTGTAGGCCAATCAGTTTCAAAGACAATGCGTCGATTACCGGAGCATGTTTTGTTTGAATGTTCACCACAAGCACTGCGTGTGGTTAATGTAGTAACTTGATTCCTTGCAGAAGGTTTCTATTTGGCGTTTGAACATCTTAAACACCTGTTGTATTGCCAGAAAGGGTAAAACCTAATTCTTGTTTTCCAACAGCAACGTGGACACCATTGCATGTGCAGAAGCACTCGGCTTTATCCAGACCACTGGCTCAACAGAACTGAATGTGTGTCTGGCCATTTCGATGCTTAGATCTGTCAACGGTTGCTTATTTTGTTACACGCTTTTATTTAACTCACTCCGTCTGTTGTCGTATCCTCAAAAATATTCTAACTCAAATTTTACCCACTTCCCAATGTGCTATCGACTGCAAACTTGGTATACTTGTGTCATACTGATGACAAGACTATATTCTATCATTAAAATAAAATAAATATATATTAAATTTTTTACACGCTTTCTCTGTTGTATCCTCAAATCTTGTAACTCAATTTCAACCGTCTTCCCAATGTCGTATCGACTGTAAACTTGGTATAGGTATGTCATACTGATGACAATACTATATTCTATCATTGAAAATTAAAAATATATATTTTTAAAAATCTTTTTTACGGCTCTAATTGTCCACGTTTACGGATCTAATTGTCGACGCTCATCTCACGTTGCCTGTAAATCACCACGGGGTCCCTCACGTCACGGCAAGCCACGGGGAGCCACGCCGAGGGGCGGGGGATGTGGAAGGAGGGGAGGGGCGATGGGGGAAGGGGGCAGGGGGAGGGGCAGCTCGCACAGTACATTTCATGAAATCGTGTTTTTTTGTATTTTAAAAGTTTGTATTTTTGCCACTTGCGAAGGAACCATGTGGACCCGGATCTGGCGTGGGTCGTGGGGTCGTGCGGATTCCATTCGAGTCGCGTGCTCAGCTGGAATGGTGTGGCTTAAGTGCTTCGTTATTTGCTGTTATAGTCTGTTATAGGATATATTTATTTATGGTATTAAAAGCATTATAAGTGTTGTTACAGGACGGTTCTTTTTGTATGGGATTCACAGGGAAACCAGCAGACCAACACGTGTTCACAATCTCTCTCCATCCCATTCACAGGGAAACCAGTGGACCCACGTGATCACAAACTCTCACCATCCCATTCATAGGGAAACCAGTGGACCCACACGTTCACAATCTCTCACCATCCCATTCACAGGGACACCAGTGGACCCACGTGATCAAAAACTCTCACCATCCCATTCACAGGGACACCAGTGGACCCACACGTGTTCACAATCTCTCTCCATCCCATTCACAGGGGAACCAGTGGACTCACACGTTCACAATCTCTCACCATCCCATTCACAGGGACACCAGTGGACTCACGTGTTCACAATCTCTCTCCATCCCATTCACAGGGAAACCAGTGGACCCACTCGTGTTCACAAGCTCTCACCATCCCATTCACAGGGACACCAGTGGACCCACACGTGTTCACAAACTCTCACCATCCCATTCATAGGGAAACCAGTGGACCCACACGTTCACAATCTCTCACCATCCCATTCACAGGGACACCAGTGGACCCACGTGATCACAAACTCTCACCATCCCATTCACAGGGAAACCAGTGGAATCACACGTTCACAATCTCTCTCCATCCCATTCACAGGGGAACCAGTGGACCCACACGTGTTCACAATCTCTCACCATCCCATTCACAGGGACACCAGTGGACTCACGTGTTCACAATCTCTCACCATCCCATTCACAGGGACACCAGTGGACTCACGTGTTCACAATCTCTCACCATCCCATTCACAGGGACACCAGTGGACTCACGTGTTCACAATCTCTCACCATCCCATTCACAGGGAAACCAGTGGACCCATATGTGTTCACAAGCTCTCACCATCCTAATTCAGTTGGAATGGTGTAGCTCAGTTTTTTTTTTATCTCGTTGCGAATGTCAAACGAATATCAGACGTTCAGTTGAACACGTAGGCGTAGTAGGAGGAGGCTTTCGTGACCGATAGTGTCCACAATCGAGGTGATTTGAGGGGTATTATCGCATAAATATGATTGTGTAGTTAAACCCGCCACCACCAGACACAGACAATCAGTAAGGTTCATCACGTCATCAATTAGTGACTCGTGCAGCACGAACCGGCGGTGTGTTGGAGAGTAAACCCACCACGACATTCACTATTCGAACACCGTGACGTTTCGCCGGTGATTACAACAACAACCACAACAACAACAACCACAACAACAACAACCAGCAGTCTCATCAGGCTGTCGTCGCCACGGTGTCTGTTGGGGACGTCGCCGTTCGCCGAGCAGAGTGGCCCCCAAACCTCTTCGGCATCGAATCGTGAGGTTCA